CTCCCCTTTCATCCCCTTGACCTACCCCTCATGGACCCAGCTCCTCATGGACCCATGGCTCCTGGCCCGATGGCTCCCCTCCGCCCTTTCCGCATACATTCCCCTTGCCCAAGCCCCCCACGCACCCCGCCATGCTTTTCATGGACCTATGCCTCCTGGTCCCATTCTTCATCCCTTGAGGCCCACCCACCCGCAACCCCCACCCCCACCCCGCGCGCACCCTGCCCCGCCGCATGGGCCCCTTGCTCCTGGCATCATGGCTCCACCCCCACCCCCAACCCCCACCCCCACACACCCCACCCTTTCCACACTTCCAACCCCCACCCCCAACCCCCACGCACCCCGCGCCCCCCACCCCCCCCCCCCCCGGACCCATGGCTCATGGCCCCATTGGCTCCCATTCTTCTCCTCGACCTGCATGGCTGCCAATGCTGGTCCTATAAATGGCCCCTGCTCCACCCCAACCCCCAACCCCCACCCCATACCGTACGCACTGCCACCCCACCCCCAACCCCCCCCCCCCCCCACCCACACTTCCAACCCCCACCCCCCACGCACCCCGCCCCCCCACTGAACCCATGGCTCCTGGCCCCATTGGCTCATGGTCCACGGCCCATGGATGTGGCTTCTCAGCTGACTTTAAAGGGCCCCAGTGCATGCCCGGGCCCTCCGCCCGCTCCGCCCGCTCCGCCCGCTCCGCCCGCTCCGCCCTCCACCCTTCCCACTCTCCATCCCCTTGACCTACCCCTCATACCCAGCTCCCTACCCCTTACCCCTCACGCACCCATGCCCCTCATGGACCCCATTCATTATGGTCCACTGCCCAAGCAGGTGGCTTCTCCGCCCCTCCCCCACCACCTCTGCCCTTCCCGCTCCGCATACTCCCTCCCTTGCCCAAGCCCCCCACGCACCCCGCCATGCTTCTCATGGACCCATGGCTCCTGGTCCCATTCTTCATCCCCGCTTACGGCGGTTTAGGGGTTCGGGTTTGTGGTGTCGAGTTTGGGGTGTACGTTGAGGCCTCAGGTTCAAGTCTCCTGGTTACGGGGGTTTAGGGTTTGGGGGTTTGGGGTTTCAGGGTTGCGGGTTTCGGGTTTGCGGTTTGCGGTTTTAGATTTGGGGTTTAGCCCCAACTCCCTGCGCATCAGGGCTCCATGTTTCGCCCCCCTGAACTCTACAACCTGACCAAGCCCTGCGCATATATCTATATATATATATATATATATATATATATACATCATCCGCGGCCGGAGCCCACAGTGCCTTGGCCCCCCTTGGAGGGGGTCGGCGGCACTGGCGGTAGCCATTAAATCGGGCAGCGCGAGGTCCCCAAAGGACCGAGCAAATGCGGACCTTTTAGCCCGGGTCGTCCCGGGAATAGCCTTGCTGGCCTCTGGCCTTCTGCGAAGCAGAATTAGGCCGGACGCCAGTGCCGCTGACCCCCGCGTGCCGCCGGTGAACGGTTTTTTTTTCGTGGTTTTTTGCGTCGCCACGGAGGCCCCCAGAGGGCGCGCATCATGAGCATCAGCAGGTCCAGCCCGGGACCCCCAGGCGCGCATCAGGAGCATCAGCGGCTCCCGGGGCGGGACCCCGGGGGGGCATCCGGGGCTAGGAAAAAGGGAGTTTAGGGGCCTTATAAAGTGCTTAGAAACGTTAAGGGAGTCTAGGAGCCTCAAACGCTTAGAGATTTGAAGGGAGTTTAGGGGCCTGAAAATGCTTAGAAACTTAACGCTTAGAGATTTTAAGGGAGTTTAGGGGCCTCAACATGCTTAGAAACTGCTCGCCCCGGCTTCTGCGTGCGCTGCCCGCCCATGGGCGCAGCCCCTTAAAATAAATAAAAATGTATATACCTCGTGACTTTGGCCTTTGGTGGCTTGCTTGGCAAACCGGGCTACAGGCTTCGCGGGCCAGCGACGCCAGGTCTGCACCGCTGAAGCCGTGCGCATCTTCTGCAAGTCTTTGCAGATCCTGGCCATTGAACCTACATGCCGCACTACCAGACACCAGCATCTGCTGCACACTAAGGATAGAGCCACATCATGAGCCACAGGCAACCTGAAGCGTTGAACCAGCACAGCCAAGATCCAGAGTAGCTCTCTCCCTCTCGATTCGTCCAAGACGAAAACTTCTTCATGTGCGTCTGCAGGATTTCATAGCGACCGACCTGACAGACATTGTGCGACTGTGACAACAACAACCGTCGACGTGCCAATCGGCCCCCAAGGTCTCATCTCATCAAGTTTCGAAAGTCAAATGTCATAAGGACCGTGCTGCAGAGGGAAATGGCACGTACAGAAGTCGGTCGAGACGGCCTGCAAAAGAAGCATTTCGCAGCGCACGCATTCGGTAGCACGGTGAACTGATGTGAACTGGCCTGGTCGCAGCATTGCAGGATCGACGATGTCAGGGCGATTCGTTGCGGCGATGACATAGACCTTCTGGCAGAAAAAATTCGGCAAGACTTGATCTGCACATCCTGGCCTGTGAGCGCGACTGCACACCGTCCATCTCCGTAAGCATTTGATTCACTACCTAGGCCGAAAGGGCGAGAACAGCCTCCGACTTTCTGCTAAAATTCGAGGCGGGAACGCGTTCTGACGAGCCTGTCCCCTCAGCAGACCTCAACACATCTCGAGACATCTCAAGACATCTCAAGACATCTGCTGCATGGGGGGGAGAGCGCGTTGCTCCGGCGACAAAGGTGTACAAAACTTAACCGATGGTAACCTCTCAGTCTGCATGGGGGGAAACCTGCAAAACTCATGGCAAATTGCATGTCCTGAAGGAAAGGGATGCACCTCTTCGGCACGAGGGCATCGAGCTCGTCAAAGAAGATGACGCCTACGGCAACGACCACCATAAAGGCATGCCAGTGGTTGCAGGATCTTTCAGCGAAACGCTGCTATGTCTATATCAGGAGCGTGCGGAGCGCAACAAAAGCTCCATTCTCAGGCGGGTGCAAGGCGAGGAACTTCGTGCTCGTTGGAACACGAGTCGAACAGCACGTTCCGACCTCAATTTGCAGGGATGCGATTTTGGGCCAAGGTCTGTGGAGAGAAAGGCAGCGCGTGTCCATGACACGTGCTGAGCAGCAGACTCGCCCACGTACTTGTTTAACAACTCCGGCCCCTGCGCGTCCACGCCCTACAGGCCCTACACTGACCCGAAGGGATCTGGCAACAGCAATCAACAGCAGTAACGGTACCGGTATCAAATGCAACCTCGACCCAAGGGACTGTCATAGGTCTATCTCGCCCGCTTGGACACAGAATTTTGCAGGGGCAGGTTTAGACGTTCGCCACTATTTTTTGGGTGTAGAGCAGAAGTTGAAGAGGCCGTGTAACGCGCTGCGGTAGGTGCGGCTGGAGTCGTGGAGCTATTGTATTCGCCTAGTGCATGAAGAACCGTGACTCAGTGGATGTCTCACCACCCAGATTTTGGAGCTTCCTTAGACCTTTCATATTCGGAAAACAGCGACATGTTACCGATACGAAACAGATTCCCTCCCATCCGCCAGAGGCGAGAAGCAACGAAAGGAACAACTGAAAAAGAGCCAATTTCATGCTTCATTCAGCTTTGCGTACAGATTCAGGAGACTCAGGGCTTAGGGCAGCCTAAACCGGACCTGGCCTTCCGAGAGTCGTTTCTAGTTTGCAAGAGGGTTCACGGCTTAGGGCAATGCTGCCCAAGTTGAGGCCTGTTTTGGCCCCCTGGAGCCTCAGCAACCAACTACTAAGCTGACATGGTAAATGGATGTACAGGGTGGGGCTTCATCATAAGTTCAGATTTCACGAAACCCGAGGAGGCCGAGGCATACCTGTGCGCGTGTGCCATGGGCTGGGGACGAGGCCCTTCTCACGCGGCTGATGCTTAAACTGTGCTCGGTAAGTACTTTCACTGTGCAGCTCTCCAGCCAGCACAAAAATGCAGTAGTCGGAAGCATCAGCAACACCCCAACGAGCATCAGCAGCCTCATGGCCACCCGTTTCTCACACGAGGAAAAGGCCAAAGAACCAACATGCCTTTTCCCGCCAACAATAGGGGTCAAGCCGCGCAAACGCACAAGATTGATCACCCAGGCCTCCAGCCTCACACATGAGGTTAATGGAGAAAGAGACGACACTCCCACAGGACTGCTCAACAGCTACCAGTGCCATGTTCAATCTCTCACGCCCTCTCCTGACATGGAAATCGGTGCGCTGGACATGACGCAAAGCTCAGGGCAAAAGTACCGGCACAGCTGGCAGGCCAGCTACATGCAGCCGAAGAACGGCGAAAGTTGTCGCGCGAAGTTGTGAGTAAGAAGTTGCCATCTACATGAAAAGTCAACAAGCATGCGTGCAGCGCGCGGTCTAGTGCAGTCTTCTGTTTTGAGTCCTCTTCAAGAAAACCTGGAACTTGACGAAGCTCTAAACCCTTGATTCTGCATTACTTCGCCTACCTATCCTTTGCTCAACTTGATCGGTCGTAGAAGACCCGCTTTTCAAACAACGATGTACAACATCGATCGGCGTTTCCAGTCAGAAGCTTAGGTAAAGCCATTTTGGTAGGAGAGGCTTCGCCGGCTTCACTGCAAAGCTAGAGGCTAAAGCGGCTAAAGACGATTTCTAGAGGTTGTGCACAGGATCCTTCACAGCGATGAAGTTGGCGCCACTCTGATTCGCTGTTGCCTGAGCGCATGACCCCGCAGGAGCACGAAACGTGCGTCCAGCGCATGCTGTTTGCTTTGTGCTTGAACGGCCTTTGCAAGGAGAGTCTTGCCACAACCGGGCGGCCCGAAGAGAAGCACTCCCACGGGAACGGTCAGACCTTCCCAACAAGGCTTACAGCTGTGCAAGAGCATGGCGCATCACCCTGCAGGACCCACACACCTACGAGCCCTCACTTTTTCGATTCAATGCCTCGAGCTCTCTGGTTCCAGTGTCATTTTGACAGCTGCAAACGGGATAGCTTTTCAACCCGCAAGAGAGATGGAGACAATAAGGCAAAAGCCGCTCATGTCAGGAGGGTCGTCCTGTCGCCCAAGCCGGCGAAGGATGCGTGGGAACTGCGTAGGCCAGTGGATACTGCGGCTTGGCAGCCTCCACATAATTTGGCAAAGGTGCCCCTGCCATTTGGCCCTTCACTGCTGGAGCTTCGATCCTATACCCTACGCCCGGTGCTGTGTAGATGCACCCAGGAGATCCAACCTGTCCAGGCATGCCTGCAGGCATCCCATTCGGTGTGATCTCCCGTTTCAAAACCGCCTGGTATTGCTGAGGTGCCTGAGCTGGGACTGCCGGCGCTTGCCGGATGCCAGGGACAGGGGCGCCGGGGGCGCCGGGGACGCCGGGGACTCCGGGGACTCCAGGGACTCCAACTGCACCAGTGACATCTGGAGCCACTGGAGCCACAGGCCTGGCCTGATTTGGACCTGGCACTTGGACCGGCGGGTTCGACGATGTCTTCTGGCGGAAGTAAGTGTGAAGCTCCTCGGCTCAAGGTGACCCTGACATACCCATCCCCGCAGGAGCACAAGTGCTAAAGAACTCCCGCAGGTGTCGTGTTTATGGCATGGGTGGCATCCTTGATACGAGCATGGCAGCTTCAACCAGACACAACAGAGCTGCCCATTGACAGAACACACATCGAGATGTAAACCAGCTTGTTGAGTATCACAAGCGAAGTCTTCGAAAAAAGTTTGTCAACAAGCCGCAAACATGTCTGTTATCATGACATGCTTCAGAAAAACGTTTGGCACCGCATGCTTGATATGCTGCTGTCAACGCTCGAACGTCCCAGCGCACATGTGGCTAACGGCTGTTCTTTGCGATGCTTGCTTCTCTCCTTTCCGACGCGGCCTGTGCTTTGCTCTTTCCGCCACTTCGCACATCCCATTCGCAGAGCATGCTGTGACTTCTACCTGCCTGCGCTTTCTCTTAACCGTGTCACTGGCTTCCGAATGGCTGCCACTAGTACGCTAGCACCGTGTCTTCCACCGTTGGCTATCGTGTTCTGTGACCGCATACAAGCAACTTGTCACACAAAGCTATCTAAAATAGGCAAGCTGCTGGCGCTGTCAGCTTCACCTGAGATGCGCTCACAAGGCAAACTCAGGTCATACAAAAAGCTTCATAGTCAGAAGCGCGGCGCGGCCAATGCATGGGCCGGAACTGTCTAGCAGTTTAGCTTGGTTTTTTCTTGCCGGGGAAAGCATGTTTTTGCAGAAGATCCCCATGTTGGGACGACAGGATGTATATAGGAAGTGGAGCACGGCCTTTGAACTTCAAACTGAGCCCAACGTCAAGCCAAGCCATTTCAAGCCTGGCCCATGTCTTGCGACAGAGATTCCCAGCCACGTGCAGCCACGTCGAAGCGACACGTTGCTCAACGGACATTCGGCGCTTCCGAACTGCTAAGAAGACAAGGTGTCACTCTGTGGCCCCTCAACATGCAGAATTGCTCGTGCTACCGTTGTGCAGGAAAGCTACGGTCTTTACTCTCCCTTCGTACTCCACGGAGACTTCCTGCCGCTGTATGTCGAGGCGGCAGATCTCACCAGCGCTCCAGCGACCAGCCTCAGCATCGAACACCGCAAAATCTTGGGTGTAGGGCATTCATTGTTCGCAGGAGCTTGTAACTTCGCAGCACCGAATCTGGCATATGGGGTTGCCAACTATCATGCCAACAGCTGGAGCGTTGTGGATTGAAAATGCCATCAAAGTGCGCTTTGTGAGTAAACTTCCACAGCTGATCCCAGCGCCAAGCCAGAAAGGGTCGGGCTATCCAGTGCTCCCCACGGGCGGAAAAAATCCTTAGCTTCTTCGATGTGTCCAGCATTTCATGCGTGCGCACGGAATTTGCTAATTTCGTGCGTCGGAGCTGCCGAGAGATGTGGGGACTTGAGGTTTATGACCTTCCGGTGCTCGCCTCAAGTTCCAAGGTGCAGTCACCACGCAAGGCTTTGCTAACACAACCGAAGCCCTCCGAGATGCGCTCAGAACAGTTTATTCTTTTGTGAAATCGCACACCTTCCCCAGTCACAAAGCATGCTGGATGCTCATTCTGCACAGTGATACTAGTGCAGAACCAGCACAGAAGTCACCAACTTGCAACGTGAATGGAATCGAACTTACCTGCCTACACAAGTATATATAATGAAAGTGCCTGACAAGCAACAGCTAAGCAGGGCAAGCCACCATGTTGCACAATGACCTCGCAACGCGCGTGGTCCACGTGCACAATGGAGGCCACCACCCAAGCTCCACTCCTTAGTCAGCTGTTTCCTTTCGCAGCCTTTCCAAGTAGTTGTGTGCTGACACTGCACCAATTTCATTGTGTGCCGTGCTTGGACAACGTCTCAGAACAAGCACACAAGCGCCATAAAACACCATGGCAAGCGCCTCTCAGGCCACGCTGTAGGCACATCATTTTTGCAAGCAAGAGTCGACTTTGAATAGACCTGTGACTCTCTGAGACACAAGTGTCACGAGTGCTCAGTCTCTGTGAGATGTCGAGAGCCAAATTATCCAAGTGGTTGGTGAAATTTGATGAGGATGTGACTCATGTGACTGGTGTCCAGCCTGGGCCCGGTCACCTGCATTGAGGGCAGAGACGGTCGCCAAGGTCGACAAGGTCGCCTCGACGCCCTTCTCCATCGGCCTCACAACATCTCACAAGCATGACGACAAGCAAAAGCAACTGAAGCAATGACCATCATGGGGAATATTCATCAAAGGCACGTGTCCGACATCTGGCTCGTAGGCTCTGGAACCATAGACTCGGCGGAGTCTTGCTTTGACTGCAGCTCGCCCACAGACTCAACCACAGACTTTGAGGCAACGGAGGCATACTTTGCTTCCAAGTCCTTGAGTGCACGAAAAGCAACCCGCAGGGACAAAGCGACCCAAGGCAAGAACAAGCCGGAAAGCGAAAACCCAAGTGGCAGAACAAAAACGACGGCACGGGGGACGATGATATTATAGGAAGTAATCCGCCTTAATGGCATTCTCAGGTACCAGCACCTAATCATATCCTGCCACCTAATCCGACCCGTATGCGCCTCCAATGCTAAGACTGCAGGCTAGCATGCTACATGCATACCGTTTGCAGGGAGGGGCGGGGTTCAAGGCCCACTGTTCTGTCAGTGCGTGCTTCCTAGCAAACACGCGGGCGGGATTGCTTGCATACATGCTTGGTTGCATGCCTGCATGCTTGCAGGATCGCATCTGAGGCTTGCATGCGGGCTTGCTGGCTCGCACGTGCACACCAACATGCCGGTTTGTCTTGACACTGGGGAGCGGAGTGCAAAGTAAGCATACCAAACTCTCCCTTCGCACGTTCCGACTCCCCGACTCCCCACCCCGCTTGACTTTATCTTGCTTGCTAAAGTATGACTCTAAACGTGAAAACCCCCCAGAAACTGCTGCTGCAGCATGGAATCGTAGCTTTCCGTAGACTTGTCAGCAGTCTCTGCCAGCGATGCAGGATCTCCTGGATCATCTCCTGGAAGGATAACTTGGAGCTCCACCTGAGGCGCAGGTAGGACACCGGGCACATACATCGCCCACTCAGTGTCACTCCGGCCTCCCCCGTTTCCTCGAAGTCCTGCATGAGGCGCCTAAGCGAAGCCCACAGCATGAGTTTGGATGTGCAATGAATTCTACATGATTTCATTGCCTTCTGTGGACTATCCGGGCATGCCGCCGAACTCCACAAAGCAAATTGGACTGGACCGAACAGCTTCGGGCTTACCAGGCCCCTGCTCCAAATGCTGGACCGAACATTTGCTTGGCAGATAGAGGCTCAGGCGACTTATGATTCAGGATTTGGGATAAGTGCTTAACGTGAAGGTGAGGTACAGAGACGTGTACTAAATCACTGTCGTATTGCTCCTTCATCCCATAGGCGAGAAGACATGAGAACATGGGGTGCTCTGGTTGAATGTCCAGGTGGCATGGCTACACAATGCAGTGTGGCCGGGGCCTACACGGCATGGACAGTGCGACGTGCAAGGTCCACCACAAAGTTGAGGGTCAACTAACAGCATCTCTGGTGCTTCGTGCAGTCTTGTAGCCACCCAGTCATGGTCTCAGCCTTCGGGTCTGCAATCGGTATTGTTGCTTCACCCACCGGCACATCCGCACCGTCAGCCACAGCGAAAACTGCCACTTTGACAAATTGCTCCTGGGCTCCAGGTCGAACTCTTCATAACTGTTGCATACTGTTTCCGATAACCCTGAATGTTCACAGATAGACGCAGCGAGACTATACTGGACCCGACCCAAACACACACAAGATACGCGAGCGAGGAAAATGTGTGACGGCAGCAGTGGGACATATCGAAAGACCCTTTCACGATGCTTAACGTCTCCACCATGTCCAAAAGCACCAGGAGTCAAAGAACAAGGTGAGTCGGGAACCATGGGTAGGTGAGCCGAGCGTGCTCCTGAACCTCCAAACCCTGTGCCCACAGTTGGGGCCCTCAACCCCATCCAAACCCAAGCCGAAAACTACCTTCGATTCTTGACTCTGCCATGCAATGTTCCCACATCAGGTCTTGTCGTGTCTGGTGCTCACCGGCCTGCTGGGGAATTGCTTCCCACAGTCCCTTGCAGAGCCCATGTATGCAGGACCCTACAGACGTGGGCGTCGCCATTTTCGAGATGAACTCGGCCATGCACACCGATTAAAAAGTCATGTCTTTTTGTGCTTCAACTTCCCCCCCCCCCGCATGAGGAACACATGCCACACGTGGTGCAAACAGCTGCCCAACAACATCATGAACGAAACACTTGCGCTCACCGCACATGGCTTATCGCTTCTTGAAGTGGGGCAAACTTCGGTTGTTGCAAGAATCCATCACAACAGATAAGAGAGGACATCCTTCGATCCGATCAGCTCGGCGCACACATACAATGATAGTGCGAGCAAAGGTTGCTTGGTCACCCACAGGGCGGGACAGGGCGGAAGAATATGTCTTGTGGATAAGTTGTGGCATCCGCCAAGGCTTTCCCCCCACCTACCCTTGATTCAAGGCAGCATAGGTTATGCTTAGCAAGTGCGTGTTCTTAATGCAGCAGCATGTCTCACATCCCGTCACAACACGCTCATGGGGCAACTCCGCACACAAGGATGCGGTCTTGTGTCTTATGGAGCTTTGTAAGTCGTATGTCCGGGCAAGGACAGACTCGTTTATGGCATTCCTCGAAGTATCCTTTTGCTCGGGTACTATGTCGCCTCGGCAAGGCAGAATGGTGCTGACCCAAAGTTGCCCGAGGCACCAAGCGTTGCCGGGACTGCGCAGATGTTGCTATGAGTTGCTACGGGCACCCCCCTAAATCCCCCCACCCAAAGATGCACGCGAAGGCCATGATATGCGATGCGATGATCCTCATGAAATATCGAAAACGAGTTGGGCGAAAAACCGCAACCCTCTTTTGATATAGTCTTCGGGTGACGAAGAACCTGATCCTGCTGTGCCAAGACACGCGAGAGTTGTACGGTATGCGAAACTGGGCCTGGCGAGCATGGTGCACCGGAAGAAATGAAATTCTGAAAGTGGGCCCTACGCTGATCTACAGCCGGCCTCCAGCACACAGTCGTGCAGCTTCTTTCCATATTTGCTGTCGACGGCCTGCGAACGTTGAGTCGAGTTTGATCTTACAGTTACAGGGGCGTGCAAAAGCCGAGACTGCTCGGAGCCTGCTTTGCCCCACATTTCCGTCTCTCACGCGGCTCCAAACCCTCGCTTTGATAGTAAGCCGTGGCGCGATAGCCACCTCAAAGTCGGGCCGAGGTGAAAGTTGGGCCGAGGTAGCTATCAAGTTGAGGACTCACTATCACTCATTCTCCCAAGCTGGTAGAGTGAAAAGAAGTTGACGTTGAGGGAAGGATATGGAAGTATGGATGTTGAGCACCGAGCCAGATGGCTCGACTGGCGGTTCGAGTGCGACGGCTGTCTTGAGCCGCACCGTAATCTCTTCATCCTCGAGGTGCACAGCATTGCACAGCTCTTACCGTAAAAAACGGATACAAAACGCCGCAAACAAGAACAAGAACTCCAAGCATTCCTGGCTTCCGATCTTTGTCGTCGTGTTGGAGGTGCTTCGGACATGAAGCTGCTTCGGCCTGACTCTTGCATAATCTTGCCGCAGTCAGTTCTCACAACTGTGAAGGTACGGTCACACTTCTCCTCATTGACACTCTGGCACTGGCAATGCTGGCAATGCTAGGGATGCTGAGGCCAGTGCTTGTTGATCAGGCCGCGCTTCTCCGCATCAATGACAAGAGACTCATGCTGCTCCACAGATGGGTGCCATTTTATGAGCGGTGCAGGATATATGTCGACGGCAAAGGTGTCCTGGAGCATAAGAGATGTGCATGCAAAGAGGCGTGGTAGCATCAGCCGATCGTGTCCTTCTTGGGCTCTGCAGGTTTAGCCATTCCGGCTGCACCGTCGCCCAAGTTTGCTCTGGGACTGTTCTACGAAATTTTGCCCGAGAGGGTAGTAGGCAAATACCACAAAAGTTCTCAAGTCTTGCAAAAAGAAGGCCTTGAAGGCATCCAGAGATCTCCAAAGATTTTAGATTCTTTGCGTGGCTGGGTGACGCGTTTGTTGAAGTTGCCTTCTATGCTAAGCAGTCTAGCCGCTTTCTAGCAAGTCAGTGCTCGAGCCAGTTGGGATGTCGGTGCAGCACATTTACAGAAGCTGCTCTTGAGTTGCTACTGTATGTCATGTGCAAGACTTGCAGGAGTGTCGTATGTCGTATGGTGTCATCGCGAGGCCCGCACCAAGCTCCTTGAAGAGCTCGGCATTGCGAATGGGCTCGCAAACAGCGGCGTCCATGTCGGCTTGTACCTCCTGCAGTGCACCCACATCCTCCCACTTCACATCCGGGATGGTTGTAAAGCCTTCACGTCGAGCAGATGGTTGGACTCTGGTCAGTGCTTCGGTGAAGTCGGCAGCATCAACTGCAAGACCGGCCATCTCTTCCGGCGAGTATGGCCCACTCTCAGCCATGTCTCGGCTCATTCCGCTCTGCTCTCTCTGCTCTCTCTGAGACTGCAAGCCAGAAAATGCACGCTGAACGGCTCCGAGCGCAGCCTCCTTTGTCAAGGCAGACAAATCTGCACCAACAAAGCCTGCGGTCTTCTTCGCCAAGAACCGCAGGTCCAGGCTGTCTGCCAGGCGCATGCCAGCAACCATCTTCTCCAGGATTCTGGCACGCGCGCTCTCATCCGGTATACCCATAGCAATCTCACGGTCAAAGCGCCCTGCTCGCCGGAGAGCGGGGTCAAGTGCATCGGGTCGGTTCGTCGCTCCCAGAACGATGACATTAGCTTTCTGAAGTTCATCAAGGCAAGTAAGGAGTTGTGCCACAATGCGGCGCTCCATCTCACGACCGGCAGAGTCCCGCTTCGGCGTAATGGCATCCACCTCATCCAGAAAAATCAGGCTTGGGGCCGCAGCCATCGCTGCCTGAAAGAGTTGGCGGATTTTCGCTTCCGACTCGCCAGACATTCCTGAAACAATCTCTGTGGCAGCGATCTTGAAGAAAGGTACACCTGTGGTGCCTGCAATGGCATGTGCAATTTTGGTTTTTCCACAGCCTGGGGGTCCAAAAAGGAGAACCCCGGTTGGTGGCTGGACACCAAGGTGCTGAAAGACTTCTGGATGGCTGAGAGGTTGAACCACAAGCTGCCGCAAATCCTGCAGTATCTCGTCGACACCTCCGAGATCTTCGAGCCTTTCGTCAGGGCGCGCCTCGGGTTGAAAGCCTGCGTTTCGCGGCTCCGGCAAGCCCTGCTCACGGCGGGCAGCAGCCATAGCAGCTTTCTCCCGCGCACGCCTAGATGGTCCCTCAGCCCCTAGTTTGGCATCCGTCGCGCTCTGGGCATTCGGGGCATTCTGGGCATAAAGACGCCGCATTGACTCATTCATGGTCTCCCTCTCCACGAGAGGCCGATCTGGAAAGGCATCCGGTAAGGGCTGCGGTCTAGCCTCCTTAGCCTCCTTAGCCTCCTTAGCCTCCTTAGCCTCCTTCCGACGCTTCTTCTTCGGCCCAGCATTCGAGGCATCTTGACCTTCCTGGCCTTCCTGGCCTTCATGGCCTTCACGGCTTTCAGCCCCAATCGTGTCAGAGGCTGTAGGCGTCGGCAGAGGAGTGCTGAGCTCTTGCAGAACGAGCTTTCTGAGCGCTTGCTGCTTCAGCCGTCCATACTCCGTGAAGCTCTTGCACAACTCATCCTTCACACCTGAAGAGAATATGACAGATGTGAATGCCCCCCTTGTGGGATGTCCTAAGCCCTAACTGAATGGGGAGACGAAGCTCTAAAACATTCTTTGACAACTCAGGACGCTGTCCGCAGTGGCAGTCTTGCCAGCGAGCTGAAACTGAAGGCGGATGTCTCTAATCCGGTGCGGCAGGCGCTTGTCCATCGCACTCCATGCAGCCTACACTGCTTGTTACCGGATGGGTTGAAGCTACGGAAAGTACCATGTTGATCACGCCACTTCAGGTCAGCAGAAAATGTAGCAAAACTGAACCTGAGTGAAAATGGCACGCGGGGCAACTTCCGAAAGGAAAACGTATGAAACAGCGCTCAACAGCTGGGAAATCCGGCAACAGCCGGAGCAGCATAGCAGCACCTCCTTCCTCCGCTGGGATTTTCTGCAGTCGGCTCTGCCTGCTCTCAGCTCCGCCTGCGCTTGGTTCCTCTTGTCTCCTGTCAGATCGAAGATCGAAGCGCGAAGAGCGACGACGGAACAGCGACGACGGAACATGCCAGAAACGTTCAGCACACTGCACCACCACGGCCTGCGAAAAAAGCTCGACCCCAAAGGCTCTTGGCCTGGTCATTGTCAGCGTCATCATCGGCATCGCTGTCGCTCAGCGAGAACCACTCTCCTTTCTTGATGGCGCGCTTGGCCTTTGTCCGCGGTTTTTGAAGAGCCTACTGTGCTGAGATCACTGCCTTCAACTCCAATCTCGGCCAGGGAACAACCACGACCAGGCTTCCGCGCTGACCTTTTGACAATGTGACACTGTGGAGCCGGAGTCGAGGCAGGTTACTCTCGCTCAGCCATGGGCTCTCCCGCAACTCGCAGTTCGAAGCAGGGCTCCTTAGATCCCACAGCCTCTTCAAGCCGCCAAAGCCCTTCTGAGCCTGAGCTCACAGCCTCGGGAGCTCAAGCTTCGGTGCAGTTTCCTCCGTGAAGATAACGGCCTCGAGGAGATTTCGCGCTTGCCAGCGCACTCCCAAGGCTCAGAGAGAGCTGGCCCCGAGTGGCCCCGAGACCCGCACCCCCTTCGGGACAGCCTTCAACGCATAGTGACCTCCAAAGAAAGTGCGCTTATCCCCCTTGGATGATGAGAGACTCCCACAAAACAAGCAAGACGAAAAGAACGAAAGCTCTCAGCACTCCAGGGACTCGCACCATCCACGTTTGTCATGTCGCAGGCTCCAGGGCGTGTGCCATCCAGGTACCTCTACAGGAGAGAGGTAGTGCTTAAGTGTGAGAAGCAATGTGTGAGAGAACGCAATGTGAGAGCAATATGAAAGCAGAGCAAAGCTCTTTCACACAGTGTGGGCGCACATGTCCCGGGCCACCTGGCACAATGGCAGCGGCCCCCGTGGCCGAACATGCTCTCGGCGCGATCGCTTTTGCTGTTGGAAACAAAGGCGAGCGAGGAGGAGAGGAGCAAGAGGGCCACCAGGTACCAGTAACGAGGCGGCAGAGGACAGGGAGAAAGCGACGCCAACCCAGCAAGGAAGGGGGGGGGAGGGGCGAGACTGAGGAGTGTCTGAAGCCGAAAATCCCATGAGCTTCCATCCATCGAACAAAATTTAAAGGCGCAACTGTAAAGACTGCTTTCTTGGAGGGCCGGCTCTAGCTCCAAACCCACTACCTCGGTATCTGCGTAGAGAACAGAACTCAGAGCTTAAACTTTACCCGTTCAAAAGTTCAAACCGAAAGTTGGCAATTGTGCGCTGGGACACGCCCTGGGGTCTCAGCGTCCGTGTGTGGACTTTTCAACTGTTTCAAAAATGTAAGTGTCGAACATGCATCTACAAACCTTTTACAAACCTGGAGAGCACTGGCGGGCTAACATTCGAACACGGGCTTGTTCTGCCTGGGGGATACCGTATGTACCGAGACTCCAATCGAAACTCGAGGTTTGACGGGTGGGATGGGGGAGGAAGAGAGGTGAAGGCGAGAGAAGGGTAGCAGGAACTGACGGGCTTCACTGGCGCCGCCCTCGGCGGGAGCTCGGCAGATGCATATTTTACCATACCGGCGATATTCAGCTTTCATTCGATCGCGAAAGCTCGTGCACTTCAAACTATCGGCAGGACTCTCGAGCCACAGCAGACACCACAACAAGACAACAAGAGGTTGTTCATCACTTAGCAAAGATCACGAAACAAGGATCTGAAACGATAACAGTCACAAGGGTGACCCCGTCACACCGATCCATGTGACGGTTGACGAACGCCACGCCACCTTCTCGAGATTAAACCGGGATTTAAAACGTCGACGTTATGGGGCCGGCTTGCGGAAATCTTTGCCAACCTAGGCAGGAGCCAGAAAACACTTCCTCTCAGTAGCTCCTGCATGCGACATGAGACTTGTAAGCTTCGGCTTGCAGCAAAAAGACGACGCGAAGTGCTCATCACAGAGAAGTGGGAAACATCGTTCGGTCTATGCTCGACCGCAAACAGGTACAGCATTCTGGGACCCCGACACTTAGGGAGAGCTTGCAGTTCGCAGGGATGCACGTGCTGTGCCACCAGAGTCTCGTATTGATGCCTGAGCTGGCTTCGACGAGCACAGATATGCTACGAGATATGCTGCGAGGGTGATCAGACATTTGCGAAATACACGCAAAGCAGGGGCAAGGGCATAGGACGTCGCCCTCCACACAGTGCACTCGCACGTGACCTGTCCTCTTCAAAGACGGGTCCTGCAGCACTGGTGACCTACTAGTGAGCCACACCATGCGCGAGCTCCACACTGACAGCTTTCCCGGAAACGTGCCCTGCCTTCAGCCGCAGCTCCTCGGTTGGCTTCAGTGTCCACACCTCCGTTGCTTTTGTCAAAAGTCGTGGTGCTTTGGCTTGCGGGAGTCACCCAGCATTGGCTGACAACTTCGACTGTGAATACTCACTTCAGAACTTGTCACTTCAGAATTAGTCACTTCTGGAACAAACTCTTTATCCCTACGCAAGCATGGTCAAGCGAAGGATCTTATAGCTCGCCCCGAGCAGAGAAGTCGGATTCCACGGCAGCATCCAATTGCAGTGCCATGATCTCCCACTGCTGCACGGCGTCTCGTAATTTCTTCGGTAGGTCTGCGAGTTCATGCTGATCTTCAACGACTGCCTCAAGACCCAACTGCATCCGCTGTCGGAGAATTCGGGGCACCTTTGCTTTAACTTCCGAGATGAGTGCTTTCCATAGGGAAACAACTGCTGTCCGCTCCGATTCTGTGACAGAGCCATCTCCATCCATATCAAGAAACACGCACAAATCCGACGACTGTTGAATCTTCTGCATGTCTGTTCTTTGTGCCCATTGAACAAGATGCTGCATGCGTGGCCACAAGGCATGGCAATCCGCTGTGAAGCGCAGCCGCGGCATGAAGGCCCGCATGAAGTTTGCAGGCATGGGATCGTCAAACTGCCAGGTGATGGAGGCAGCTGGCCCAACGCCCTCGGATAAAGTCTGATGAATGAAAGCAGGTCCGAAAAACAATGCATCTCCAGGAAAAAGCACAGCATCCTCAAAGAGATTCCATGACCGATGCTCGGATCTGTTGTAGATTTGCCCATCTTGATAGAGCTTCATAACGTGCGGGGCTGCTCGGGGTGAGATTGCTGCGACGCGCCATCGCTTCTCTCCACAGAGCTGCAAGCTCCATGTTGACTCGGGATGGACATCGACATGAGCTTTGGCGCCTGTGCTCTCGCCGCCACCCTGGACAAACCAGAACTCAGGAGTGTCTCGCAGACTTCTCATGTTGTTGCCTCGCATGAACTCTGGCACAACAGTATGGTTCTGAACGAATTCCAGCAGTTCCCGGGTCCAAGTCGGACTATAGTGAGAATCTAGACTAAGTTCGTGTGGACTGCGATACTGAACATCCTTAATGCCCACATAATACGGAGACGTCCCGGCACCTGTCTTCTTTGCTTCGGGCAGATCAACCATCGAACTTGACATGATGTTATGCAAAGGCATCCATTGTGGCTGTTGACTTGCAGTGTCGGCATACTCTCGGCGGCCTTGCACATTTCGAAACAAGTCTTGATGACGGAAAAAGTCGCAGTCCCAGTTCTTCATGGGGTGGGCCTTACCCAGTCCTCTGACTACAAAGGGCCGCCCTTCCTGCACCAGTCGGTCGAAAGTCTCAGGTCTTAGAGAGTCTCTTGTGAAGTTGAGTATCGGGAATGCTCCCATCTTGTCCAGCGCTTGAAAGGAGCGTGCATCGTGGAGCCAGTACTGGGTCTCGGCGGGCTCCCAGCTTCGGATGTCGACATTCTTCGCATTCTCGGACTTTGCTTCGCCGCAACTGTAACAATGTAACAAAACGCAACAACAAAACACGCGAAGCCGAGCTGCAAACATCGCGGCATCAAGAAGCTCTGGGCCAAACATACAGAATCCACCCGCTGCTGCCGGCGACAGCATGCTAGATAAACGCCATGCTATCTTTATGGGTCCGCCTTCTCACCTTTTAGCTGCACATGCCAGGTGCCGCTGTGCTGGATGGCATCCTTTGCTGGCAAAAAAAGGCAGCTCAAGACCAAGTATATAGAGCGTAAGCAGGCAGGCAACTGTATGCTCGGGTCGACCACGCAATCTGCGGTTGCCGGAATTCCTGCAGAAAGCAATAAGCCCTCACTTGCCCGTGCATGACGACTAATAGCTTCAGCTAGGCTGTGCAATGTGGCTTCACACATGTAACAGGTTCTTCAGCTGCAGATCATCAGACGCCTTCCAAAAAACACCCATGCCGCATTGGAGTGCTTCGGCAACTTCGCCTTGGCTCCCCAGGGCCGACAGGGGGGAACCCTTTTGGAAGACCTTACCCATGCACGGGGCATAGGGATGCTTGGAACCATGGCTCTAACATGCTGCGAATTGCTGTGCGTTGTGCTTGGCCAGGCATCCCACGACCTTGCCAGCTCTCTTGGGAGGCCTTGCAGGACTGATGCTTCCGCTGCTTCGGCTGCTTCGGCTGCTTCGGTGTTGGCCAGGTGGCTCTTTGAAGAAAGGCTCGCAGCAGAAACCCTCTGCTGGGCTATGGTTCTGAAAGTATCGAAGTTATTCAGGTTCGGTTCGGGCAGTAATCATGTCAGGGCTCGGCCGGCCAGGATTTCAGATTCCGGGGCTTCAGGAGGGGTACTGGCATTGGGGCCGAATTCAGCTGCGGACAGCTTCACCTAGAAGTAAGCGCTCACACGAGAAGTGAGCGCACACACGGGCGGCGTCAAATTGGGATCTCCTGGCCCTATGATCTCCTATGACGTGGTGTCTGTGGGCGCGTTTGCCGCATGGATGTCCACCTAGCTGAAAGCCCGTGCACAGTTCTTTTTGACATTGCAACTGACACAGTATCTCTGCATAGCTGCTGGCAGCAAAGGCCGGCCTCTTGGTCAGGAATTTTGGTGCCTTGGATTCGCAGCTCAGCGTCCCGGCAGCAAAGGCAACAGTTCAATCGAGTTTCTGACCCCTCCAGGGAGGGTCTGCGACAAGAACTCCGACAGTGCCTGTCGGCTCCCTAAGTTCGTGACCGCGGCAGCATGTCACAGATGCAATGTCTCCTTACCGACAGGCCACTGAGAATACAGAAGCTTGGCCCCGGCACTCTGCAAGACAAAGGAAGCATACCAGGAACCTCCAACGAGACAGCAACTACAAAGCAAAAGCTGGGCACAGCAAAATGGAAAACGATGGCAGAAACGGCAGAAACATGCGGAAACGAAAAATGGTAGAGCCATGTGCCTGCCTTGCGGGGCCCTCGCCGAGCCCAAGAGACGATGCAAAGCTGCCTTCGGAACCACTAGCTGTCACTAGCTTGCCCAAGCTTTCTGGGAACTATCAAGGGTCGCCGATTGCTTGCAGAACTTGTTTCTTGGTCTGGCGTATGGTTTCATAGCGGGCCGGCATCAAGTTGAGCATTTCCTCCCGCCGGAAACAAGACAAAAGTCATGCAGACCAAAAACGAAGAGCTCACCAACAAGCAAGCACATATTGCCGGCATAGACGCCGTCCCACAAGACTCGAACCCCCACTCCAAGACCACTCCAAAACAACCGCAAGGGCCGCAAGGGCCCAAAAGTGATTGCAATTCTGCACTTCACAGGGAGCATGCACCCCCGGGAGCGAGGCGAAGAAGCAGCAGCTGCAGCAAAAATACCAAGAATGAGAATGATACTTACAACAAGAGGCTGTAGAGAAGTAGAGACGGTTGACAGTACATGCCTTCCCACGGAAACTGGCCCTCCCTCCAGACATTGCCGAGTTGACATGATCTGAAAGTATGAAGGTTGGTCTCTGAGCTTGCGGCGTTTGATGATTCAGGCTTTGGCAAAGTACCGCTGCTTTCCAGATCTCAAGCAAGCAATAAAGAAGTTCAGCTATCTTGTGACAGTGCAGAGTAGGACAGAAGTCTGAGCTCATGGGCTAAATGCTCGGCCTCAAAGCAGATTGGAGGTGGAAGGGCACAGCTCCAAAAGCAGCTCCGAGGGCAGACAACGGATCAAACACAGTCGCACATCCGGCAGCACCGTGAGTGAATATGAGTGAATATGCATGCATTGCTGTGCTTGGCCTTAAAGAATAAACAAGCCCTAACACGGTACGGCAGTCCACCAATCCGCAGAGTGTCTGGCTTGCTGCCAAGCGCAACAGCTGTCCCAAGATTTCAAGACAACCCTTTTCGGTGTTTCCAGCAAGGAGACAGGATTGCGGCACACATGTGCCGACCGAGTTTTGTGTGTGTGTGTGTGTGTTTTAAACCATCCTGCAATTGACCAGCTACGCCACGAGTCATCGAATCAACCCGCGTCGTGCTCGCCACACTGTGCTCTTGCTTGGCCCACGCCCAGATATCGTTGGCTCTTCAGCTTGTGGCTTGAGCTGGCTTCAGATGCCAGTCTGGCTGGGATGCTTGAGATTAGGAAATTCTGTCAGGCCGATTGTGGCCAAGCATTTCGGCGCCCTTCTCGGCCTTTTTCAACTCCATGAGCCTCACGCTCCATCAATTTAATGCGCCCCATTCGCCAGGGCACTCAGCATTGTGCGTGAAAGCTTTGCTACATTGAGTTGTGCAACTTCAGTTGCGTGTACACAAGTTTAGTCGAGGTTGCCCCACTGCTAGCTCTGCTATCTGCTAATGCGGTCAGACAAAATTTAGGCAACAAACAGTGGCTAACAGAGGCTCATCGTTCCACTTCTCCGAGCTTGGGTGCCGTACGCAGCACAGAAGGATAGGCCTTGCAGGTCCAAGCTTGGCTGCGTCTTCAGTGCCAAATTGTGCCAAATTGTCCAACTCAAGAACTTGAAAGAACCTTTTTCTCTCCGCTGCGAAGTCACTGCGTTCTCCCGCATGCGAGCTATGCGCAGCCGCAGCATGCAGTCGAGTATGATTGCCAGCCTTGGAAACAGCTGTCACAACTTCTTTAACTAGTCGCTTAGCCCTGTTGCACTCCACACGTAGGAAGGCTCTTGCTCACGGGTGCAAACCAGTCTATGAAGACTGCTGGTGATTCTAGGAAAGCCCCAATCGAGAGTTGTCTTGACCGTAGAGCAGTATTGTATGGTGGCAATGGGGGTGCAAAATCACCCCTGATAATCTGGGGGGGGGGGGGGTTTGGTCCCCCCCTAAAACGGAACCCATTCCATTTTGACCCCCCCCCCCCCTGCACGCGTGCCCGGCCGGCTTACGTCGAGTTTAGATGTTTGGGCTTTGGTTTCTCGAAGGTGTAGACCTCAGGAGTTTAGGGCTCAGGTGCTGTTCAAGGTGTGGAGTGGGGTTGCCCTGGACACTAGAGGCCTAAACCCTAAGGCCTAAAGCAAGCGTTTACAAATCGTAGTCATAGCATCGTCATAGGGATCCGCCCATCCGCCCCCGAAATGAATACATACACAGGACTCAAGGTACAGAGAGGGTTTAAGGGTTTAGGGATGTGCTCCGGCGTTGCAGCATGGGCTCCAAAACTCACGTGGCAAATCCCTCCACATCCCTTCGCATGGCTCCTACAGAAGCCGCCAAAGCGCCAAAGCCAGCGGGGACGTGGTACCCAGAATGCTCGGGTAAAGGGTAATCTGTCGCTTTCCGTGCGCTTAGCACATGAATAGACGCAAGACATGGTAACATGACGATACATGATGATGGGTGCGTGCGTGCGTGCGTGCGTGCGTGGGTGGGTGGGTGGGTGGGTGGGTGCGTGGGTGGGTGGGTGGGTGGGTGGGTGGGTGTGGGTGGGTGGGTGGGTGGGTGTGGGTGGGTGGGTGTGTGTGTGTGTGTGTGTTCGCAAAAATAAACTCTTTAGGGGTCACCCCTTGCGGATTCCATTTTTGCTGGAGGGGCTCGGAAACGGGGGGGGTGGGGGTGGACCCCCTCGTGATTCCAACTTTTTTTTGGGCGGGACCGCGTTTCGAAATGGATCAGGCGGGGTGCCTACCCCCCCCCCCCCACGATTCCGTTTCCCAAAAACCACTTGAGATCGGGGCCACGAAAGCTAGAAACGCGGCTGACAAGCAAGCTTCTTTCGAGTCAGGCGCAGGGCCTGACCAAGACGGAGGGGGAAAGCCTGAAAAGGGAGGGGGGGGGGGGGGGCCAAAAGGGGGGGGGGGGGGGGTGGCCCCCCCCCCCCCCCCCTCCCCAGAAATCAATTAAGGCGACCCTGAAAGGAGGGGGGGGGGGTTTCCTTAAGATTGATTTATATTGATTTTGTCAATCCTATAAGGGGGGGGAGGGGGGGGGGGCCCCCCCCCCTCCACAGCCCTTTATCTCTCTGATTTTCAGACCACTTAAGGGTCGGAGTCGCTTTTTGACCCAGCTGAACACTAGAGAGAATTCTTGTAAACGACAACTCTCGCGAGCTCCAAGGAGCTAGCTTTCGTGATAAACCGACAGCGGAATTCCATTACCCAGCCACCCTGCTCGATTCCGTTTCTTATCTGGGGTGGTGGTGCAAAGATGCATCAATTCAAGTCGAGTTGCTTCCCGGCAGAGGTGAACCATCACCGCAGGCAGTCTTGCCGATGCAGGTGCAGCTGCTGGGTCCAGAGGATGTGCAAGGAGGCTTGGTTGCGCAGAAATAGCAGCAGTAAACGGTACCCACCCCAACCCACCTCCAAAAATCCTGAAAGAACACTACTGCAGGTTTCTGGCCAGGACACACTGCTTTCTCGGGCGTGTTCTGACAGCTCGGCACACCACGCTGGAATTCGCTTGGCCAGCTTGGAATGTGAGGCAGCTTCCAGCTGCCGCAACGAAACATTCGAGACAGCGGCGTCACAGCAGCCAAGGTATGTCCCATCAGCTGCAGGACAGCAGCTGCCATCAAGGCGGAGATCAGCACAGGCCCTATGAGCTGCACAAGATCTTGCACCCATGGAGGTGTTGCCGGCGCCGGCGCCGGCGCTGGCGCTGACGTTGCTGGCAACATCTTGGGGCACCGGCTGAGCAGGCGCGGGAGGAGTCGTCTCTGAAGCTGGTTCAGACACAACCTCGGACCCCAACAAAAGCTCGAGCCTAGGGCTTTCCTGTCAGAGGTGTCTTAGTCTAAGTCTAAGTAAGGGCACCTGCCAGCTTCTTTCCCAGGAGCCTGTTGCGCAGCCGGTTGCGGAGCCGGTTGCGGAGCCTGTTGCGGGGCCGGTTGCGGAGCCGGTTGCGGGGCCAATTGCGGAGCCTGTTGCGGAGCAGGCGTTGGCGCAGCTGCGTGTACTTCTGGGTGGCAACCGCAGCATGAATAGGAATATCCCTGCCACGATCCTGGGGGAAACGGCCCCCAGCCACCACAAATAGCAGGCCCCATGCAAATGCAGCTTCCAGCTCCGCCATTACACGCCGCAATGCTGCGGCGCACATACTCCTCGGAACTTGCGCTAATAGCTAGCGGCACTGGCGGGCCACGACAACCGCTGATTGCTGATTAGAAGTAAGCTTCCGGCACTGATGGTATAACACCAATAAGGTGCATAGAACTCGTGGGACTTGCGCTCAGACCTCGTGACCTGAGTGTCTGGTGGAATGACAGTGCTACCACGACTTTGACCCTCATGGGGACGATAGCCGGACGACTGCCAATTCTACAGCTGGATGCCACGGAGCCACTGCTGTTGCAGTTTGAAGCAGCTCAACGTTCAGGTCCTTGCGATTGAAGCAGCCACGCTAGAATTTCGGATCGGCGGCAACTGCAGAGGGCGAGTTACCAATGCTTCAGAGATTCGTCGAGCTCATGCAACTCCATGTTCTCCAGCTCTGCTTCCATCCGCAAGTCACAAGCCTGCTCACCTCAAGCTAAGCAGCGTCAAAGCCTTACACTATTTGCTATTTACACTCAGGACCACGCAGGAAAATCGTAGGCTGAGGATCAGGCCGGCACAAGCATGGCAGAGCAAAGCTAGACCATAGGCAAGACTCGCTAGACTTGCAGGCAGAGCTATCCTTGCGCTTCGCGCCATGGCAAGGTGGCCTGCAGTTGCCCAGGCTGAGGCTACTCTCAAGTGGGTTTTCGAGAGCTGCTCAAAAAAAACAGCGGCAAGACTCTGAAGGCTCTTAAGGCTCTTGAGACCTTACTACCCCCAAGTTGGGCGGCGGAGCATCAAAAACCCTGCGCTTCGGCGCTTTACTTGTTCAGGACACATCAGTCTGGTGGTCACTTCTCTTGGCACTGCTGGAATGTGTCGGAATCAACTGTCCGAGTCCACGCTTAGCATCGAACCGATATATTTCAAAATTTAACACGTGGTGCACTCACAATGCCTCTACTCACGCAAAGCGACATTCTTACAAAGCACGAGCAGCTACAGGCATTCCGCATGCTTCTGCAACGGGACCGCAACGAATGCTTCGCCGGTCTCGCTCAGCCGCGGCTCAGTTGTCTGCCGGACGAAAGCAAACGATACTTTGCAAAATTCTGGAACTGTGCCCATCATGATCGGGGAGTACCACGGAGCAAGTTCATGCGCACTGGAGAGTCATCAGGTGTTTCCTTCTGATGCAAAGAACACGAGAAGCCTTGTCAGAGAAACTCCCAAGAAGGGAAACGGTAAATTTTGGAAGCCCCCATCTTGAAGAAGCAGGAGTGTGAGCAGAGGGCATCCAGGTTCTTATCGCTGTACCGATGTTAACACCAGAAATTGCAGGATATTGCAGGATACTTCATTCACGCTCGGAGCGGAGCCGAGTATAAGCGCTGCAGCAGGGCCAGCCCAATGCGTCGGCTCCTGAGCAAGGTTGAGTGCAGGGCTCTGATTTCAGCAGCATGCCCGGCATGTGCCGAAACGGTGTCAGACAGACTCGTGCGCGCCTGTTCGCGGGGCCTGCTGCATGCTGCTTCGAACGCCTGGAATGTCGCGGGGTGCACGAGTAGCCATCTTCGACTAGCTGAGACATCACCTGACTGCCAACCGGGAAACCTTACTGCACAGATGAGCTTAGGCACTGGCACAAGGACGACCTGACGCTGCGCAAAAGCCGAAGAGAAGGCCTCCAAGAATGATTGTACCAGAGCTTGGATGAACTTGGGACAGTGAGCACAAAGCAGACAGAAGGGCTTTGGCTCTTCCATGCTACGGTGCGATAAACCCACCTCGAAGTTCACATCATTGCCCAGACGAGGTACGACACTTCTCTTGCCGGCCTTTCCTTCCATGTTCTGTGCGTGGACACCCAGTGGACCATACTGCCAGGACCCACTTGGCTTCCGGCCGCTTGGCATGGCCAACGCTGCAATAATGTTGTGGGCATTTGCAGCAAAGTCTAGTCTAGGGGCCTGTGCCTTAACCCTACATTGGAGAATTGGAGTAGGCATGAGTACGGTTCTCCCGAAGAACACATACGACTACATTCATCTGCTCTTGCAGATTCACTGTTCTGTGGAACCTTGAAATCTGTCGGCAAAGAAAACAGACATCTGGTCAGCTTTGCTTCCTCCGCGCATCGCATCTGCAAGGCGGCTTGAGATGTTGGTAGGCCCTCGTATGCCTTTTTCCCCACCATGAAGCATGACCAGGGTACAAGGACACAGTAAAGTCCACTGCCAAAGACTGATTCTGGATCTTGATTTTAGACTTGTCTTGGAGTATCACGAGGACGGTAGGAAGTAGGGTAGGGACCTCTCCATGAACAAGTTCGCTCAATTTGGAGCATGCAGGAAGTGAAAATCACAGGCCAGCACTTGTTGTTGACAAAAGTGCAGGGCAAAGGAGCCACCCCTGCCAAACAGTGGCTGATATGGTTTGGCACAAGGCCCTGGAACCAAGCTATGCTGCGACTGCAACAGTTCTTTCCTTGACTGGCCGGTTTTAAACAAACAGTACGCACCGGTCCAGCAAAAAAACTCTACTGTGTCCATGCCTTACATCTTTCAGTGTGATCAGCAGAAGTCTCTGCACAAACCGGTCTTTCTGGACCAGAGTCGTCGAATGAAAAGCACATGTAAATCGAAAGAGCGAACAGCACATGCACTCATTGGAAGTATTGCGTGTGCTGCTCACTGCTTCAAGGACGAGAGAGTATGTTGTGCTCAGAGATCTACGCAGAAGGGTTGCGAAACTTCTCTCCAGCGTACACTGCCTTCAACAACGACAGCCACAAGGCTTGCCAGTCAGAAAGCAAACACGATCACAACTAATTTGTGCAGCTGCAGCCCAACCTTGGAACCGAGTTCCTCTTCGATGCGCAGCAGCCTCGAGCACCCGGCACTTTGCAGACTGTGCAACAGCAACCTAAAATGTCCTGAAATATAGCCTAACCTTAAGACATTAGCCAGAACCTGTCTAGGAAGGAGACTGATTGTACTTCGCCAAGCGCTCGCTGCGACAAGGCGCACCAGTCTTGATCTGACCTGGGTAGGCTTCAGAACTGCCGAAGCCAACGTTGAACAGTACTGCTTTCCAGTGTCCCAGCCTGTCCGCAGTCCGACCACCAAGTCAGCAATAAAGGAGTCCTGGCCAATGCTCTCAACATATCCACAATGGTTCGGCATGTCCGCGTTTTAGCATGGCGCCTCTGTCTCTCCAGAGCGATGGGAGACCATGACCCCCCAGCCATTGTACATGGACCTCGGTGGCATAAGACCACTCCATGACGATGAGCATTCCTGCAGCTTTGAAAACCCTGAGACGGCTAAGGGCAATTCATGTTGGCAGCATCAATCGCTTCCGAGATGGATCCGATCTGGTTGACCTGTAGTGGGACTTGTCAGATCCCCCGGCGCAAACATCCCAACGAAAGAATACCGTGTCAGTTCTGCCACAGCGCAGTTGTCAACAGATGATTGCTATCAAAACTGCGAGCCTTGAGAAGCAATGCATTGCAGGCCTGACCGAATGACTACGAATAGATTGGATACGCAGACCTTGATGTTCAACAGGAAGGTGCGATGCTGAGGCAAGGTCTCCAACATCCAGAGCCTTTGCAATTCGCTTGGTGTTGGTGACCAACCTGATCTAGCAAGTGCTAGCTGGAGCGGCAACAGCTTTCGTGGACGCTATGTGCATCGGAACAAGTAATGACAAAAAATATGGCGAGCGAGCAACTTGCTGCGTAATGCCACTACTAGGCCCCTGTCTGTGATTCAGTGTTCCAACATATAACAGAGCATGGGGCGGCGCCGTGCCGCACCCACTGAACATGCGGTCACTTGTGTTAAAATGCGACCGGAACCAACTTACGAGGGCAGTACAGAAGCGTGCAGAAGCAGCCCAAGATAGCCCCCAAGTATATTCGCAAGCATCTTGACATGGGCAAGGGCTTAGGACCATGTCTCAACTATGGATTTGACATTCTCAGGCTCCCTCAGGTCCCCGGGCCAATGTTGCATTTGTGCTGATAGCTGTCTGTTAGCTGCTTGCTTGCGTTGTCATCCGCTCACCCGCCATGACAGGCAGCAAAGGCTGCACACGCCATGCATGCTCTCAAGAAGAGCATTGGTTGATGGAGCATCCGTGCTGTCAGGGAATTGCTTGGCGTGCTGAAAAGCTTGAATTCAAGCGCCTTCTCGCGCGAATAAAGATCTTGCACTGCCTGACTGGGCTTGTTTACAGAAGGCAATTGCCGCTGCAGAGTGCCTCCGTACCTTGCAACAGGAAGGCCACGGATCCATTGGGCATGGACAAAGAGTGTGCAAGAGCTCTGGAGCTGAGCCTCCTGAGGGTTCAGTGCTGGAGGGAGAAGCTGTGAACAGATGGGCACTGCCGGCAGCTTCGGACTCAGTGATTGATGCTCCCTTGCCGGAGCCGGAAAGAAATATTGGTGCCCTTCCAGTAGATGGGTTGGGCCTGTGATGGAGAGCAACGAGGAGGTGAGTCCAGGTGCCGATGGGCAGATGTTAATGATGATGGGCAGGTAGGGCAACCAAAATTGGGTGGGCATGTGAGCGAGATGGGGCTGACAGAAGGTCGACGGGCGGGTATTGTCACTGTGCCATTGCGTTTGTTTTGCTGCTTCGTTTCTAAGGCTCGAGACCCGAGACGAAAGCACAAGGACATTCTTACGTCATGACATTCACCCTCTGCCTTGTTCGGAACCCTATGTACCATGACTCAGGGAAACTCTACTTACTAAAACGGAAGAGTTCCTAATCACGGAAGCTGTGACTGCGACAGGTCGTCACCGACAATCTGCACATCCTGCCCGAGGCGCGTCAGAGCTCGGATGACCAGGTCTGTGGTCTTCGTGACTCCACGCACATGCAGTCACAAATCTTCAGACCACAAGCTGGGCCTTTCCGCACTTTGTGCAGAATTCTGCGTATGCTTCCCAGTCATCCTGGTCAAATGGGTCCTTGCAAAAGAGCTGGAGCGATTATGCAGTGACGAGTTCTGCAAAAAACAGCTACAACAACCCGGTCCTCGATGGACACGAAAGGATACTTGGCAAACCACTCCTGCAGGAATGCAACCTTTTTCAACGCACAAGCTGCATCCGAGGCAACGAACAGCATCCAAATTGTTCTTACTTATGTATTGGGAAAGAAAATGTGAAAGTGAATTAGACATAAACAAAGAAAGCTCCCAACGGGGACCTAGGTTCAGGGGTTTTGGAGGTTTGTGTAATAGTTGTTGCCATTGTTCCCCACCCTCGGTGTGGGGTTGTTAGATTTTAAACTCAACTCTTCTCCTCGCCCGGAACTCTGCTCCTTGCCCGGAACTCTTCTCCTCGCCCAATCTACTCCTCGATCATCCCCGGAGTGCCCAACCCCCAAAGTGTCCCTGGAGCGCCCAACTCTACAGTAGAGTGTCCCTGGAGTGCCCAACCCCAGAGTCTCCCTGGAGTGCCCAACCCAGAGTCTGGAGTGCCCAGAGTCTCCCTGGACCAGAGTCTCCCTAGAGTGCCCAACGCCAGAGTCTCCCTGCAGTGCCCAACGTAGAGTGTCCCCGAATTGCCCAGCCCCAGAGTTTCCTGAATTGCCCAACCCCAGAATGTCCCTGGAGTGCCCAGCCCTGGAGTGCCCAACTCCAGAGTCTCCCGGAGTGCCCAGTGCCCAAGCCCAGAGTGTCCCCGGAGTGCCCAGCCCCAGTCTCTACCAGAGAGGGTAGGGATGTTTTTCTCGCGAGCGACTTGAGCAACTGCCCTGCAGAGTAAAGTATTGTACATGTACACCATGAAGGAGCTCGCATGAGCCTGAACAATACCTTGCTGGGTAGGGGTAGAAAAATATGAGTGGTACAAAGTCTATATGAACCATAGCTTCGCCTGTAGGCGTGGGCACTGGAGAATATGGCTGGGCTATCTTTCCTCCAAATTGGTAGGATGTCGCAATAGTTGGGTCGCAATAGGTGGCCTGGGAGCTTCGCTCAGCTTTGCGACTACAATCTGGAGGGTGGGAGCACTCAGCCTTATGGGCTGGAAGAAGCAGATACTCGTTGGAACATGCAGAATGCAATCCAACGGAGTTCCAAGCACGGAGGCGCCACGCTACCCGGTTCCCTATCGTTCCCTCAAGATGCCCCACAACTCCCACAAGTCATGTCTTTCAAACAGGGGTCCTGGTAGTATGTCGCCATCTCGCCTTAGATGACGAACCCTCAATCACGTGAAAGCACAACCATCGGTTCACAATGCACTCCCGTTAACTCCTGGAAAAATTGCAGCTCGGCGTCTTCCAGTTTTCCAGTCTGCCGACTTGCTCTCCGGATTCTTGAAATCCAAGTCGTACTTGCCCTCCTCACACGCTCAGCGATCATTCCGATCTCAAGCATCTGCATTGGCCATCGCTTGCCAAAGGACTGCAGGACATCGTACTGTATGACGCGTTTGCATCGAAGCGGATGGCGGCACTGGGCCTTTGCCTTTGCCATGCGATTTTTGCAGCCCATGCCTTCACGAATTCCGCTACAGCCTCTTGCTTGTTGGCTGACGGACCCTGCACATCCACAAGCGAAATGTCTTAAAAGGCTGTGCCAAAAGCTATGCACTATACATCAGGGTTTCAAGGTATGATATCCACAGGTGCCTCACAGTTCTGGCACCCTTTCGGAAACTGCCACGCCGGTCTTGGCACCCACTCACAGTACGATTCACAATTGGATGAGAACAAAGGCGTCACACGCTTGTATCCGTCACAGCTGGCCACATGCTGCAGGGCTGCAGGCGGAACCCAGCGACACCAGTCGGGGAGAGGTTCGTGTGCTTCTTGCGGTGCAGAGAGTGCTTCAGCACTCTTCAACTGGCTTCTCGATTCAGCCAGTGCTGCTCCTCCACAACGGGCGCAACCCTCGGGGTAGTGCCACGCAAGTACAGGCACCCAGCGGCACCAACTCGCACAACCTTCCTTTCCAGCGACATCAACTCGAGAATCGCCCAGGTAATCAGTGCATCCATTGACAGACTTTTGGAGAGGAACCGGAACCCAAGCACACCATGTTGCCCAAGCATTGGCTGCAGGAACCTGCAGCAAAAACATGATGAAAAGCCGAGCCATGGCTTCGCTTTGGGCTCCGCTTTGGGCTCCGCTCTGGGATTCACTGACCCTGTGAGCACTGCTGACGCTCAAGGTCTGCAAAGACCCCCTTATACCTCCCTCTGCAATAGGGCAGACAGCAGAACAACTCCATGGGAGCGCAAAAGATATCTCAAACGTTTCTCCTGTCACATGTCACGCAGGCACACAGGGCTTGCTGACTGTGTCCTTGTAGAATTCTGATGCTGCCACATCGGTGCCAATCTTGACCTTGCTCAGGCAATGCACCAGTTTTAGTACCAGCCGCGAATCCGAAGCAGCAACAGTAGAAGGGACAGTCCACCTTGTCCTTGTGGCCAGATTTCTCAATGGCATCCATGAGGACATCCAGTGCCTAATTGAATCTGCGAAGGCATTGATCACCCTGGCCTTTGTGCTAAGCTAACATATGTCAGCGAACGACTGCAAAGTGTGGCGTTGGGGCCTCGTTGTTGTCCTGAACTGAAGGGGCGAAACCACCCTGCAACAGGACAGTCGCGTGACCGCATGCCGCTTGTCAACCGTACAGTTACGGCCATCGGCAGCTGCCTCGTCTCCAACATTGCAGGCATCCTTGCAACGCTTGAGCGTCGAAGCTACCAGACCAAACACAGCTGTCATCTTGCCACGTGCCTGTCCATACTTCTTCTTGATGCAGCCCTTCAGGGAGTGGTACACCTGGAGCAAACAAAACCAACAGCAACTATCAGCAACTCATAGTTGTGCAGCTGCCTCGCAGCCAATCTGGAGAGCCTCCCTGAAGCTTTTGGCGCCGACTGGCAGTATCATGAACTCCTGCGGGCAGCTGAACAGGAACATGTAGCCTATGCATCGAAAGCAATGCTGACCACGACAGCACCTGGCAGGCCAGGCGGTTGCCAGCATGGCTTCCACCATTGATGACATTGAAGGATGGAACTGGCATGACCTCACACAGCTTGAATTTTCCTTGAAAGCTCCAAAGTCCCATTTCGGCACTCTGCTGACCAAATGGTGCCGATCGCATCTGCGCATGATCTGAGCATTTTTCTGAGCATGGCACATAGCTGCTCGTAGGTCTGCCAGATAGGCACGACAAGTACTGATAAAGGGGCCTTGGTGCGATGTGTCACACATATCCACACAATCCACACCACTTAAACCACATTTAAGACTTGTCCTACAAAAGGCTTCTACTTAGGAATGCAAAGCCAAGTGTATTTGCGGATGACAAGCCTCATGCGAGATGCTGGTCAGGACTCCATAGGAGTCTGTAAAAATGAAGAAAAAAAACAACATGCCGAGGGCACATTTCCATCGAGGCTGCACCAGCACGGCAAACGGCCATGGACACGGCCAGGATGGCATTGGCACCCAAATTGGACTGGCTTCGCACACAAGAGGGGGATACAAGCGGAGGGTCAGCTGGAAGCATGGAACTGACGAACCCTTTTTGGAGCGGAGCTTAAATCGGCTTAAAATTTCGCGACGCCTTGCTCCATCCCCAGTCATTCTGGGTGCCGTCCAGGATCTCGACCTCTGGCAACTCTGGCAATTTGAAGGCTTCGGGGCCGGTTAAAGGAAATTCCTCGAGCTGGATAAACTCAACGACACCGTCAATCCCCAAGAACTCGCTGCCCTGCAAAGCACCAAAACAGAGGCAACACCGCTCTCTCAGCTCTCTATGGAGGGACTTCCTTACTCTGTCTCCCCACATTGCGCCCGAAGACAGAGTGAATGAACAAACTTTGGAATTTCACAGGGTCAAGGGCTTCTCCTAAAAGAATCACAAAGCTGAGCCCGTAGCATCAACGACTCTGATACCGTTCGAAGCGATTTCTTGCGGTTCACGTCGGCATGGGGGGCTTGCTTGTTTCAGGATTGCATGCCAAGCCTGGCTTAGATTTGTAAAAAGGACATTGGAAAATTGATTCTGCTTGAGTTTTAGGCAGGGATTTCTCGTATTCGGAAGCGCAGTTCTGCATGGTCTGGTTTGGTGGCACAAAGAACTTGGGCCAAAGACCTACACATTCGGAAACACAGTCGGAAACAGATTCGGAAACTGGGAAAGGGGAAAGCGTAAGTAAACTGCAAAAGCTGGGTCTGGCTCAATGGAACCTTCGGATTCGGTGATTCGCGAAACTGCAACCCTCACATCGCTGTGACTTTCCTCACCTATGCAAGAGCAACAACACTGCATCCTCAACTCCACCCTTTGCGACGCTGGGCTACTCTGACTTGCTTAGTTGATAGGAAAAAATCCAATCACTTGCTCAAACATCACAGTCGAAAACGATTGGCTCCACAAAATGTGCGGCGAAAGTGGTCGCAATCCACCAATCGGCGGTGCCGAGGACTATCAGAAGACTGGACCTGGCCGTGATGGCCCAATTGCTGTTTGGCGTTTAGATCCGATTGCTCCGATGACTTGCACCACTTGGTCGAACCGTTCCGAGTTCCCCCTTCCTTCCTATTCCGCTCCGAGAGTATCCACAGAACGACTCCATACTTGTGGCGCGATTTCAGGTTTGGCGCGCATCGTTGACACCGATGCTGCCCCGTGAGCAAGGGCACCAGGGGGTGCCGGCAAGGCACCTGGCGTCCCATTAGTACGCCGACCAAGGCGACAGCATCGGCTAGACAGATGAGTCTCAAGGATTCAAGTACTGTGGCTGTCCCATCAGGCCAGAAGCAAAAGAAACAGGGAGGATCCTACCCTTTCACACCTCCTTGTTGCTACAGCAGCCCCCCCAAGCCGCCGCAGCTCCACTCCCTCCAGCCGCAAGCATGCTAAGCGAACTACCACGGCGACCCCTTGGTTGCCATACCGCTTGCGTCCACTTGCTCATACTTGCTCTCAACAGCTAGTCATTAACATTTTACAAGTGTTCATTCCTTTCATGGCGCTCTTCAGGCACCTGGTTGGGTGTGGCCATGGTCTGGGGAGGCTTTGGGAAATGCGTTGCGGGTTGTGGCGCGGGTTGTGGGGCGCTGCACAACACTGTGGCACAACTACTTGTTTTTGGCGCTTTATGGCGCTTTGATGCACTTATGTGCAAGCTGGCTTTGGCAAGTGCTGGCAGCCGGGGCCCGGAGGAAAAATTGAATAGAATGCTAGTGTAGCATCCTGCGATGCAACGGTTGGCATTGTTGGAATCCTAGGCGGTAGCAGGTTCGAAGGGGTTTCCGAAGCCAAGGACAGAGGTTGAACCAAACACGACACAGGTCAATGCAAAGTTGCGGTTCGACTTGAGAGCAGGAAACCTTGTAAAGCACTGTGAAGTGAACGGGGATCGCGCCATTACCCGATCAATCTCCTTCTGCTTGGTAACATCCATACCGACAAGCTTGGGAGCAATCTTCTCGTTGACGTTCGCCACCGCCTTATGCAGAAATGCGCACCCTGACCCTCGCAGAGAATCGCAGGTTGCACGGTTGCACGATGTTTGCAGAATGCTGAGCACACCTTGAGCACCCCCTTGCCAAGCAGGCGCTGCTTGTCACCGTCACGAAGTTCCAGGGCCTCGCCCAGTTCAGCGGCTTTGAAATCAAGAGCCTCCCCCCCGATTTACATCTACTTGCAACATAGACCTTCGACCCCATGACGCGCCACCTCGTAGATGCCAGTGGAGGCTCCACTCGGCACAGCTGCTCGAAACAGGTGTTCCTGACTTCAAGCATCTCCGAGACGAGAACGAAGATGCGACACGGTTGCTTGGCGTGTGGCATTTGTCATGAGGTCAACCTGACCGCACAATGCAACCCAAACACGTGCAACGTCGGCCAACCTAAAAAGCTTGTATCCGAATGTACTGCCAACCAACATGCGCAGCCATGTGTGCAACGAACTTCCGTGTCATTGCCTCGACTGTGGGGTTGCCACGAGAGTCGAAGATCTCTCGCGCCTGAGAGACTTACTGTCAAAGCACATCGAACACTTGTGAAAAAAAAGAAGAAAAAAACAGAAGTACTTTGTGAAAACACACTGTTGAAAGCACTTCGCTGACCATGCCGGTCATTGCGTGCAAACCCAGGCCTTGATGCTTTGGATCACTGCTGGTGTCGGAATAATACCGTCCACCTCACACAGTTTGGGGTGAGGCAGCAAACACCTGGTCCAGATTGAGGTGAGCCTGAGCCATGTGGCACGCCAAATCCACAAGGCGATTCGAGTAGCCCCACTCATTGTCCTGACTTGAGTTGGGACAGTCATGAGAACATGTGCCACACTTCTTGGCCTTTGCTCAGCAGTTCTCTGCAAACATGGCCCTGATAGTAAGCCCCTGGCATACCAGGACACCAGCTTCACGAACTTGTCATTCAGGGCAATGCACGCGCTTTTATCCTCGAAGGACAATCAACTCACTTGCAACAAAAAAGTACAAAAGACGCCAAAGCCCGGAACTTACCCTGAGACCCCTACAAAGATCGAAGACATCGGGCACGTCACAAAATCCGTGGATACAACCTGCGGATGGTTGTGGGAGCTTCCAACTTGCCCCAAAGGCCCACAGGCATCCACAGGCGCACAAGAGACATGAGCCCTGCTTGGCAGCCTCCTGGTCGGTGAAACCAAGAATGCCCTTCATAGGACCTCACAAGAAGTTTGCAAGCAGCTCTCAATCAAAAAGGCTCAGCTGAAAAACGCAAGAAAGCTTTCGGATCAGCCTTCAACTGCTTTGTTTATTGCTGCGGTGATGTCATCCATGCTTGCCGGCCTAAGCAGAAGATGCCGGTTACAGAGAAAGGCACTGACGGCCATCTGACCCCAAAGGCCGTGGCTTGTCCAGTCGGCAAGTTAGGTCCACAACAGAGACGTCAGGAGTCGGAACTCGGAATGCCATGCCCGTCAATTTGCCTTACGGAGCAGATGCTTTCACGCTCCGAGCATTCAAGTTCCACTGCAGGATGCCAGGGCCGTGACCATTCAACGCTGGAATAACTTTGCCCACTGCCTACAGTCTGTACGGGTCGGCCAACAGCACCCTAGACAGTGGCCGAAATGCCCTGACCTTCGCAGCCCCAGTAGAGGATGGAATGATGTTCTCAGAGGCACATCGTCCTCCACGCCAGTCCTGGAACAGGAAAGTTGTTGCCAATGAGCCCATGGTGTACTAAGGTGTACTTCTCAAGAGTCCTTCCCACCACGTGATGGCCCGTCAACAGTCAGTTGTGTAGCTGTCATGGCATGGACAGTGGTCATGAGGCCCTGACATCAATGCTGATGCACAACAAAGCATGCGACATTTCCGCTGCGGCACTCTGGCGTTGGCAAAGCCTACCTCTGCAATGCCGAAATTGTCGTTGATGACCTGGGCAAAAGCTATTTTTGAAGACGTTGACAAGCCAGCAAACCAAAACCGGGACTGGAAGTGGAAACAACGCGCTGGGCCTTGGCCAAGGGCGCCAAACAGTTCGTCGTGCATGAAGCATTCGAGACAACCTGCAAGTCCTCCCAACGGGATGCAAAAATTTTGTGATGTTTTGATTCACTTGGATGTCGGACGGATGATTCGGGAAATACCCAGCCCTGTGAGGATGGTGGCCTGTGTGTACTTCTCATGGTTCACGCCCATGACGAACATGGGCGTGCTGTCCTGCGAATCTTACTTCGAAACAAGAGCACGCCATGCACGACCGGAAACACGCCGTTCTCGTCCTTAGGAGGGGCTGAAATGATGACTTTCTTGCATCCACCTTGAAGATGCTTGGACGCCTTCTCCTTTGGGAAGGCTGTATATACAACCAGGCATATAGCTTATAGATGCTTATAGCAGAGGCTGCACTTCCATGTGCAGCAACGACAGCAACGACTGCAGACCAAGCCTTGTCACAGAACACGCCTGTGGACTCGCAAACGTAATCCGCGCCGACAGCTCCCCAAGGGATCGAAGCTGGATCTTTTTCATGGAAAATTCGCACTGGCAGTCCATTGACAACCAGATACTCCTCACCATTCTCCTGAAAGCTTTCCGTTCACGATTTCTGACAGCAGATGCATATGCATCACTTTCAGTTCAGAGTTCAGCCTATGATACCACCTCCGTCCTTTTTCGTGGAAACGGAGCCGTTGAATCGTTTGTGCACGGAGTCGTACTTCAGCAAGTACTTCATGTAGTCAAGATCCATAAACGGATCATTGACCGCAACCATTGTAACCTCACTCAGACAAACCAAATACCAAATCCAAGCAAATTAATGTAGGTCTGCAAAGCAACAAATGGCCAAGCCACACTTTGATTTTCCATGGCTGCACGGAAGACCAGGCGCCCAATGCGTCCGAAGCCATTGATGCCCATCTGCGTCATTTTGACCTTGCCAGCCAACGTGGAGCACTTTGAAACCAATGCGCAACAAGCCATAACATATACACACGCTTGGAGTGCCAGCGAGCGACCGATTTTGGTGAGCCCTTGCGCCAGCAATCCTATGTTGTGAAATCCGCTAGTGCCAGCACAACCTCTTCTGCTGGAGCGAGAGGGGCAACATTGAAGCACTGAGCTGCCATCATATGCAAAAGCACTCAAAGACGTTCAACATCGTCCTTACGGCAAATTCTTGTGCTACATTACAACCATGGCTGCGCATACCACAGGCAGAGCTGCGAACGGCACGGAGCCTTGGGTTACCCCATCGCAAAACTTACAAAATTTACGGTTGCAGCCACAGTACTTGCAGCCTGTCGTTCCTCATTTTGTTTTTTTGTGAGAAAAAATCAATCAGTTGTCATTTCTACTATCCATTTCTGACGTGCCAGCCAGCAACCCATCTGGTTTCTGTCAACTGCACGGGCACGAGCGCTGCGCACATAAACACCGAATGACACCGACCAACTCATCCGGGCGCAGCAACTTTACCGCTCACATGGGCTTGCGCCTGTTCTACCCTTCGCAAGTCCCGCGGAATGTGAATCCTTCACTTTCGGCCATCTACCGGCAACAACTGTTCTGAAAGGTCGCTGTGCAAACCATCAATCCCCTATGTAGTAACTTTACCGGGTTTAAACAAAAAATGCAGGGTCCGCGACATTGCACCAGACACTTTTCCGCAACAATCGCCCATGCACACGCTCGCCTAGTGGCCCGGGTTGTCCACCGGCAGGCACCCGCTGATTTAGCAAATTGACCTACTCCCTTGGCCCAAAGTAGGCCTTGCAGCTGTGAGGTAAAGCATCTACTCCCGACGAAAACAAATGTTGGCGTTGAGGCAGCCTCTCAGGTGGGAGGGTGGGCAAAAAGAAAAGACTCTGTGGTGGTTATATGGGTCGAAGCCGAAGCGGCTGCCGGGGTGTCATGATTCGCACTAACCAAAAGATCTGCCCAAGTGAAGCCACCAGTAACCTTCGGCAGCCCTGCTGAATCGTTTTTGTTTTTTACACGGCGATGTTCATGGCACGTGAAGCTGTCAGCCACATGGCCAAGTTCCTGCATGCCCGGGGCTGTCCACATCTCATTCTTACTGCAGTGGGCATGCGCAAACCAAAAACAGAGACAGAGAGAGAGAGAGAGAGAGAGAGAGAGAGAGAGAGAGAGAGAGAGTGAGTGAGTGAGTGAGTGAGTGAGTGAGTGAGTGAATGAGTGAGTATATAAACCCCTGCCGCGTGTGGTCTGCAGCGTTCATTACAGTCTGCGTTGGGTCATTTGCAATAATTTAACCTACTACCTACTACCTGCTACCTACTACCTACTACCGACTACCTACTACGTACTACCTACTACCTACTACCTACTACCTGCTACCTACTACCTACTACCTACTACCGACTACCGACTACCGACTACCGACTACCGACCTACTTCCTACGACCTACTACCTACGACCTACTACGACCCTGGGGGAAACGTCCAAAGCAGGCTACTTGGGTAAAGCTTGGCTTTGCGCAGTCACTCGGTCTGCCGATTGTTTCCTTGCTCCACACGCAAGTCCCGGATCACAGCGCAGTCGATCCCGACTCGATCGGTACTCAAGAGCTCGCAAAACCTCGCTGCACAGCTGCAGTACGTTAACAAGCACTATGGCGGGTTCGTTGCCTTTGGCTATTAGCTCAGCTACACAAACTGCTTTGAGCTACGACCTAAAGTTTGAGACCTTTGAGTGTCCACAGCTGCAGTCGGGTTGACGTGAAGCTGTACAAAAGCAAGAGCAAACGACATGCAACTGCTACGTCACTGCATCACATGCTACAGTGATGCTGCTGCAAAATGCAACCCACACACAGCACGAAGCGACGGGACATGTCTCTATCACACAAGCACAGCCGCTTCCAGCAGCTCCGGATTTTAAAGAGACATGGATCCCCGAGTCCGTGCAAACGGCGACATGAAGACAGGCTAACCTACGGGCTACCACCTGCTCATAACGCGCGCTCAGCTCAGCTCGAGGACGGGCGATCTTGGCCTTTTGGCGGCCCTTTCTCGCGAAGCCTACGCCTCGGCTCAAAGTTCAACTTTGCGGGGACTGATCGCTCCCGCAAATCAGCGAACCAAGCCTTGTAGGTCTCCACACGAGGGTCTCCCTCGGCTTCTGCTGTTCCTTAGCGCATGACCATTTCGAAATTACATCTGCCCGCGCGTGTATAATTATGCTCGCGGTTTGCCCACGGTCACTAAGAGCGTTTTAGCGTGTGTCGGGGGTAGATGAGCAACAATGGTTTCCCCGATATAACGTGGACTTCTACACCAGACTCCCTTATATGTGGCAACGAGTCAACGAGTCGTTACAAGACCGACTGTTCTTCTCATCAACGAGCAAGAGGTCTTTGGCTCCAGCCTCGGAGCCCCGGACGCCGTGGCCATAACGACGACTGGATTTCTGTCCCCCGTGGCAACACCGGCCTGAGAATTCGTTCCCGGTGTGATGTCGCGCACCATATACTCGAGCCACTCGCTGTCGGGAAGGAGGGTTACGGCGGTTACGGAACATACGCCAGGATTGAAAACCACCGGCGCCTTGTTTTGCGCTGCCTGGCGCAACGCACGTTCTATAAACTAGTTGTGCTTGCTAGCGGTATAGCCGGAGGCTTCAAAAGGCAGCGAGCTTCGCTCCACGCTTTGTTTTCTCTGGAGTGCCGGAAATCCTCACCAACATCCACTCGAGGAGACAACAAACGATGCACAAAGAAGGTTGATGGGTGGGACCATATTACCCCACCCATGACAGACCGAAGCTGAACTTGACCAACACAAGCAAAGAACGGTAAATGATTTAGGCGCACACCACATCTCTCCGGTCATGAGAACATGATGCAAAGTAAAAAGTGGCCTGTACGGAGTAAACATGACCAGCCAGCTTTTTTGGCCGCCCATACGACAACATGACTGTGCAGATGTGAACCGAGAAGTCCATATGGACCTGCTGCAAAAGAACTGCCCTACAAGTGAGACTACCTGGTGACACTGCTTGTTTGCTACGGCCCGCCCCGAGAGCCCACTTTCTTGTAACGAGGTCTTGAATGTTCTTCTGGCCAGTGCCGGTGAGACGAGGGCCCCAAAGCCTGGGGTGGGTGGGTGTGGAAAAACTTGACTTTCTCGCTAGCAAGCACCACTCTAGAGCCAAAATGACGCACGAACATAGTTTATAAAACATACATGAACAAGTACATGATACGTTCTATAAACTAGTTGTGCTTGCTAGCGGTATAGCCGGAGGCTTCAAAAGGCAGCGAGCTTCGCTCCACGCTTTGTTTTCTCTGGAGTGCCGGAAATCCTCACCAACATCCACTCGAGGAGACAACAAACGATGCACAAAGAAGGTTGATGGGTGGGACCATATTACCCCAAACCAAACTACCCAGCAACCTCGCCCCAGAAAAACCCCAAACCTATGTGAGGTTGTTCGGCACTCCTCTGCTCCGCACAGACCATGGAAGGTGAGCCCCTTCGGGGAAAACAGAAATTTGTGGACGAGGCAACCAAAGGGCCTCGAGTGACAGCCGCACTCTGTCCTTTTCAAGGCAATCAGGGGGAATCTCATATTCAGCAGGACGAGATAAGGCATCCGCCTTCACGTTGCGTTCCCCAGAGATGTGTTTTACATCCAGCGTTGTTCTATGTACAGCTGCTAGCAAAGAGATCCTTTCTAGGAAAAAACAGAGAGGCCGAGCGGTGGAGAAGGAAGCGTTCACACCTGCTTCTGCACCTGTGTTGTCTGATGCGGAACGTAGTTGCAAGGGGATTCTGGCGCAAGGTAAAAGAGACGATGTTGCCAAGATCAGCGCTCCTTGGGCGAGCGCTTCATAGCAAGCAATATCAAGCTGCATGTCTGCTTGCACAAGAATCTCAAGGGCCCTGAAGGCATTGTAGGGAAAACTTTCGCGAAACCAACGCTGGCCTATCGTGGGGTGAGAAACGTACCCACCAATGCAACACATCGAGCCATGCGCACTTGCATCTGCTCTTGCCTCAAAGGATGCATTGCCTAAGGGGCGCATGCTGCAAAATGGGCACATATGCAAAAGCCAGTGTTCAAACAAACCCAAAATGCGCACTGACTCGGGGCTCAACTTGCGCTTTGAGCTTGATTGACTTGACACGCGCATCCAAACCCGCCTGTCTGTAATGCGCACTCGATCCAAGTCAGACAAAGTTGACAAATCCTGATGGCGAACTGACAAGAGTGTGCTGTGGAGCGGAATTGCTGTACCTGGAGGGACTGATTTGAACTGCAGGGAGTCCGTCAAGTGATAACGAAGCTGTGGCCAAACATCTGGGGCCACCGAGTAGTTGGTAGCAGCTGGGCTAAAAAGATCATGATAGAAGGTGTACAAAAGCGACTTCATTGTCGGAAAAAGGTGCGCAGCCCAAAGAGCAAGCCCGACAAACCTCTCCAAATCCTTGCGTGAAATTTTCGGACTACGCTGAAGATCTTGAACCATCCCCAAAAGTTTTAACCGTTTCTCCTCTGCAAGCGAAACTACCCCGGAAGTGTAACAAAAACACCACCCTATCCAATGAACTCGTGAGCTGACTTGAAGTTTCTTCCAATTCAAAGGTACCCCCAGAACCTGGAGGAAGAGGCAGATCATTGCCCCTGTTGCTGGCAGGACGCCTTCCGCCTGGGAAAACAAGTAGTCGTCCACAAACAAATGGCCTGCATGGCTGAACCAAATCAAGATATGTAACAACCGAAGGAGGCAGGAGCCTAAGCGCCCCCACCAATGCTGTGCAAAGACCGCCCCGAATGGGGCCACGCGATAGAAGTACAGGGAATCTGCAAAAGCGAAACCCAGGAGACCTTGCTCTGACTCCTTGACAACACAGCGTTTGTGAGCACTTTTGACATCAAGAGATATGGCAGCTTGCCGCGAGCGAGTGCCCCGAAGGGGAAAACAGTGCATCACGTCCCTCACTGATGGCATGTGCTGGACTTCCGGAACGCTGCAACTTGCATTCGTGCCACAAACTGAGTTATCTAAGACCAACCTTTCCGATCGATTTGGCGCACGGACCACTGATAACTTCCCCATCGCCAGTGCACCAATTCTGCATGTGGATGGAAAGAGAAACATCCTCCAGGTTCTCCTTCTGATTCGGCCAAAAACAATTTGACACCGGGATATCGTTGTTATACCCTGTGGGGACGCCTTGCAAAAGGGATTTGCAAAGACTCACATCCGGATCACCACCAAAACAGGCAAGTGCCTCAAGCGCATGCAGATGCAAAGGTTGATGCTCACGGACCTCCCATGTATTTGCATCCGTTGCCACACCTAGGCAGGAGAAGAAGTCTTTGCGCGCATCTTGCACCTCCAGTTCGGAGAAAAGGGGCTCAGGATTAGGCCAAGTGGCTTTAGCAAGCAGGCGTTTGGGGCCTTGCATGTCACAAACTTTCCCCAAAAGGTATGTCCTAAGATTTTTTAGCTTATCCTGGCTTAATGGAGTGCTCCAATCCCCACAAGAGTGGCGACCTGCCCCATCGTGGATCACCCACGGTCCAACGTCCAGGGCCTTGACAGGTACCAAAGCCGATGCTGTGGCAAGGGTGTGTTCGATCTGTGCACCTGCAAGAAGCGGCCTGATGTGCAACGCGAATTCGGCAGCCAGGCATTCAGGGTATTTAGCCGTCTTACGGCTTCTGAACGAACCATCACTCTCACGTCCCTGCACGGACTCGTGAGCATTGCGTCCGTGCTGACACGTCTGCCCCATCTCCGAGAGGGCTTGAAAGCTCGATGCAAACAGCCAGGTTTTTGCCCAGTTCTCCCCAAATGCACAGGCTGGAAGAACAATGAGAGCTGTGGACCCACAATGCAACCAGCCTTGAACGCAGGCTTCATCCCAGGACATGGCACCTGATGGTTGCTCCAAATGGCCATGGCCCCGGCCCCATGGACGACTTGAAGACATTTGCATGCCCTGAAAAGCATCTCGTGACTTGTTTGTATACGAGCCTGAGCTGATGGGTGCAAATTCTCCAGGCCCCCTAGCTGGGTTGGGGTGCGGATGGCAAAAGGTGGACCTCCAAAGAGCTTCAGTCTGGAGTATTCTGAGCAGCAGGGAAATGCCGCACAATACCCCACAACCCCTGAGCCACAGATGAACAACAGTTGCTCGAAAAAGGTATTATCGAAAATGTCCATGCTGCTATCCAACAGGATATCAACTGCCAGTGTTGGGAACCCTAACTCCTGCACTGCTGATGACAGAGGCTTCTCCGCACCCGAACAAATGTCCAGGAAGATCCTTGAAGACTGCTGCAGCGCTGAGTGATTTAGGGCAGGCGAAGATGGTGGTGGCCGAGGCGTTTGGGGCTGCAGGATCAAGCTGTGGTTAACAAACCCCTTTGGAGAAGGTTTTCCCCAATTGACCCCCGAAGAAGGAAGTGGCTCCTGGGTGGGAGGGCAATTTACAGGTTTAGGGGTCGGTGTCGGGGGGATATTCCGTGGCTGGGGCCAAGGGAATCCGAGATCTCGAAGTGTATCGCCTGACACACCTGGGAGGGTAAAGGCCGTCAGCACCCAGCGATCACCAAGCCATGGTTGGGTGCAATGCCATAGGTGCACTGGGAACTTAAATGGCTCATGATGCGTTCTGACGATCTTCCCCATGAGAGTCACCCCAAGCTTGGGAATGAACTGAGGCACAGTGCCTGCTTGATCCTCTATCCAAAGACCTCCATCCGAGTACGAACCTATACCCACTGTCAAGTTTGACGACCCCGGCAAATTTGCTGTGTCCTTGTGCGGGGACGTCAGGATATTCCTGCTGACACACAAGGCATTCCAGGTCTCACCTGGGAACAGTTGGCACAGGAAACCATTAAGGCTTGCACACAATTTTGGCAGTGCATCTGTAACTGAAGAGCGGGCAGAAGGATTACCTATGCGCACCCCAAAGTTCCAGTAGCCCGATTCCCCCGGAGCCGCTGAAGTAACGCTCCTGGCGGGAAGAACGCGTGGAGGCCAAGAGGCCGACAGTAACGCCTGAAGACAGGACTGGAAGTCGTGTATGCATGAAGAACTTTCTTCTGCCACGTGTGTAACACCCACCTGCCCGGGTGTTACTGCATCACTGGAAAGACCAGGTGTGTTGCTTACGACTTGACCCAACACGGGTTGTGAAGGAATGTTGCCCCGAGGACATTGCATTGCTGGCAACGACACAGGCCCAGCGTTTCGCTCCAACAAGGAGGCCGATTTGGGAGTGGCATGTACGGGCTCGGATTGCCGAGCTGCAGGCTGGACATCATATCCAGCGACACGGCTTGCACCTGCCTGGTGCTTTGCTGCATGAGGCTGTGATGGTGATACTGACATACAAGACGATGAAGGGTTTGAATGAACCGGCTCAGCATGAGCGTGCAAAGAAAGCGGGGCAGCTGGGGGTGATACTTCTGTAGACGGCATATCTGAATTCGGGGATTTCTGCAACGGCCCAGGGATTGGGGCTAATCAGTGAGGCGTCTGCTCATGCTGCGAGGCTGTGTGCGACTTGCTCCCGCACGCTGATCCATCCTGCTTGGGGTATGCACATGCATGAACAAAGGGGCAGGAGCCCCCCCTTGTGCAACGGCCAATCTGCCACTGGACACACAACCCTTTCTTCTCGGATCCTACCTGGATTTCTTTCACGAAGGTGATGTGCCTCCCTGAAGCGCCCTTGGGCTTACCGCCCTTATCCTTGCCACGGCCCTTGCCCAGGCCTTTCCACTGGCCAACCTGCTTGCCCTTGCCTTGCAGGGCAGGGCCGCGGGGGATGAACAAGGCTTTCGGACGAGCCTGCAACAAGGTGCTGAGCTCACCTCTAACTTCTGTGAACTCATGCAACGCGTCATTCAAGCTCCAGGCTTTCTCACTGACCAAAGAGTGGATGCTCTGCCAAATCCGACAATCTGCCTGCTGCGCTTCTAGAATTGTCGGTGCACGCAGTCCTGATGCTGGGTCGAAACGCTGGGACACGAGTTGGACAAACTTGCAGCTATAGGCGTTGAGGCGGGCAAGGTGAGCTGAGCCAACCATGGCTAATGCCACGTCATGCACTGCCAAGATCCGCTGGATACCACTGATCCCCATATTGGCATCGGTCACTTCGATTGTAGGCGGATCATCTAGGATCTAGGAGCAAGCTGGAAAGACGCAGCATTTCGAGCTTGGGCTGTTTGTGGGGTCGGGCAATCAACAACTCCGAAGCTTTCTCTTCCGTCATGCGATGTTTCCAAGCTATCCATTTATACTCCGACCGTGCCTCTTGATGGGCTGCGAGGGAAATCAGCCTCAAAGAAGGTAGAATAGAGGGATTCAAGACCTCACTTGGGTAATTTGCAAGGAATTGGCGCTTCATGTCGGACAGCTTCGTGGATGCAAGTTTGGGAGCAAAACTCTCTACCCATGTCTCCAAAGTAGGATCTGCATGAACTGGGGCCGGCGAAACACTAGAGGAGCTGGATGCTTGCATGCCCGCCCACGCTGCTTTGATTTGGGCAATCTGCAAACGGGACAAGACGTGACCTGGGAAGATCTCAGGGATGGCTCCCTCAACCTCTGCCTGGGTTTCAACAACATGCTTGAACGCCGAGGCCGTCCAGCCCCCATCTATGGCCACCTTGATGACCTCTGCTGCCAGACCTTCCTTTGCCAGTGCACTCTCCAACTCGGAAGCAGCCATGGTGAGCAAAGGTACCGCAGGGCTAGTGTTGGTATGCAGCACTGAAACAATTCTTGTTACGCGATAGCATAAGTGGCTTTGTTCGTGTTTCTAGAAACAGCATGCACGCAACATGGCGAAGATGTATCCATCTACTCAGGACGTCCCATTAAAGAACGTGAAACTTTCGAGACACAACGGATCTAAACCTCTTGTCCTGCTTCGTTTGATAGACCAAACAGATCCCTGCCTGCAGATGTGTCAAGAATCATGCCAAATTCATGCCAGCAATCTAACCCATGGGGAACACGTACAGCATGACATCCTGCCGGGTAACTGATGCCTACTCAGAGCACACGAACGCACTTTTCTGAAACGGACATCAAAGCTCATGCATCTGAGAAGCTAGATAAAGCTGCCAAGCAAGCACCGCGTCTACACAACCGACACGAAGATGGCACTGATGTATGGATCATGAGCCGATCGGCCGGCAAAGTGGCACCACACTTTGCACGCAAATATGTGCCATTGACAAGTGTACCTGATGAGGCATCGCCAGGACAAAGAACGTGCAACACAGCTGTGCAGGAGCCCAGCAAGAATTCATCAGGCTCACCTAAGTCATGATCCTCAGCTGGCGGTGCCAAGGGTTCGTCCTCGCTCTCATCAGAAGATCCTGGGTCGGATTGATACACAAGATCTTTGTCCAGCGCCTCCGGTTCCGGATCAGGGGTGCCCGATTGATTTTCTGCGACCTCCCAACTCCCATTACTGCTCTGAAGTAGATCCTCACTGCCATCAAGTTGAAACGAGAACCATTGGAAGGGCTCAAACTCGTAGTCCTTAGAGAAAGCTTCCGGTGGAACATACGCCGGCGTCAAGGGCTGCTGCCCCCCTCTGTGCTGGGGGACCAAAAACCTGAAGCCTGATCGAATGCTGTCACGAATGCAGGATTGGCACCGAAGCATGCCGTGAACATCGTCACGGGAATAAAGAGCGGAGCTGCTTATGCGGTGGTGTCCTTGACGCTTCCTATCAACCTCATCAACATTCACTTGAAGGGACATGGAAAGCATGGTGGCTTTGAGGCTGTGCACCGTGAAGTTGAGGGGTGGCACCTCCGGTGGTGAGGACGCCCAAGGCATAAGGAGAAAATGCCTCAACCACTTCAACGCCTCAGCATAGCTCATAGCTTGCAGGGGGAACATGAAGCTTTCGCCTTGCACTGCGGGAAGCAAGAACGATGGAAGCCACGAATCTGTGTGGTTTCGAACATGCGTTACAACAAGCCTATCAAGTGCATGCAGGTATTTGCTGACCCAAGAATGCGTTCCGCGAGAAAGAATGCCTGACGCAAGGATGCCCCAGGGCTGCCCGGTGTGACAAGTTTTTGTCGAAGGACATGCAAATCAAAAGATGATGAACTCCACCCACGCGTTGAAGATCAGCAAATCGTAATGAACCCCAGGCAGCAACCAAAAAACCGCCAAGCACGACCACCTCAATAAGTGATGCCTGCTTCATCAAGATGCGCCTTTCCCACAGCTGAAGCACCCAAGTGGGGAGTGGGAAACTCTCCCTGCGTTCACAAGGAATTTTTGACTTCAGAAAGGAATCTATCACTTTTTCAAACGCGCACGACAAGATTGTACATTCTGCGACCTTGCATAGCCAACGAAGTGCTTTGATTGTCATGCAACAGCTTGAACCCAAGGTAGGGTCTCCATGCTTTTCAAGGGACATGGTGACTAGTACGTCCGCCATCATAACACTATCAAGATTGCCAAAACCGAAGCCTAGACCCTCAAGGTTCGCCACAAAATGTGACCAAGCTGCCAGGTAACGCAGCACCGTGTTCGTGGCATACCCTGAAAGAATCCGCGACGTGTGCTGGCTGGCAAATTCAGAGCACTGGATCTGCTTGAACAACCCACTACAAGCACCCATAAAAACGAGGACGCCCCAGAACAATGACAAGGCCATCTGGGAGAAACCGGCTATCTGCTGGAACTTGGGATGGTGAACATCGGCTGGCTTTGCGGCTTTTCGTTTCGAAGCAGCTTTCAACAGGAGAGATGAACTGCTTTGCTGCTGTTGGTTGGATTCTAGAGAAAACTGGCGAAACCTTGCGAAATGCATGGCTGATTCATCTTCAGCCTCAGAATCACATTCACTCCTGCCTGACATTGCAGCAGGAACTGGCAGTGGTTGCACAGCATGTGGCACTGGCTCGATGCGTCGTCCCTGGGAGTACACAGGTTGAGCTAGACCTGCCCCTGGCAAAGGGGGAGCGGTTGCTTTAGGTTTGTCTGTTGGCAAAGCGAGCCCCCCCAAAGGCGGTGGACCACACTTACTCTTTGCTTTGCTGAAATGCTTATCATCAGGATCCGTCGGGCGTTTCATACTGCACCTTTTAGTCCTCGATCAAGCTTTGCCAAAAACCTGGGGGCCTTGGGAAACTTGTCTGAACTGCACGCACAAGAAAGCTGAAGCAACTCTCAAGGTGCAAGAGCCGAACAGAAAGGCAGCCGATGCTACTGGTGCCAGTATGGCCGCGCAGATCCCGACGGACCCTCTGATCTTCCTGCTCGATGCGATGCACACGCTCTTCCAAGACTGCAATGTGTGTATGAAGGGCTTCCAACTGGCTCTGCAATTCGTGAACTTGAAGCTGCAACTGATCTGAAGAGGCGTCAAGCCCAGCACACGATGCTTCCATGCACTCACTTTGGAGTGAGCCCGCTCACCCCTGGAGCATTGTTCAAAATGAAAACTATGCTGAATGCAAAGGTTGCCAAAACACGAACCAAGCACTGTGGGAAAACATGGATAAGAAGACTTCCCATGAAGAAAGCATGCCATGAAAGAACTTGTTGAAAAAACTTGACTTTCTCGCTAGCAAGCACCACTCTTGAGCCAAAATGACGCACGAACATAGTTTATAAAACATACATGAACAAGTACATGATACGTTGCGCCCGCACTTGGGCCTGCAAGCCCGCAGCGCGCATCTCCGACCTCTCTAGGTCCTTCCGCAACATTCTCTTTCCTCAGAACGCAAGTTCGAAAAGCACGCCGCCTGACTCGGCTGTGGCTGGGGAGGGCGCACCTGAGGCTGGTGAAGGGCTCGCACCATCGTGCGCGGGAGCACTGCGATCGCTCCTCGGCGGCAATGCAAGAGCAAGGCGACGTGGGGTAGCAGGCTGGCTTATGACTTCTTAAGGGCGCTTGTTCAACATGGAAAAGAAGCAATTCGCCCTTACCACTAGAAGCGGGAGAATCGCCTTTCCTGCCTGACCACTGCCCTCAATACAATCCAACACGGACTCAACCTTCCTGGTGACTTCCTCCTTTTTCAGCCGGAGATTCCTCCCAGAACCTCCATTTCCTAGACAAAGCTTTTGCCTCGGGGGAATTACGATAAGTCACCCCATGAAGGAACAATCTAGTAGTGGCAAGGCCCTCATTTAAAGTGCACGGGCGCCTCCTCCGCTTTGGTTCCGCCTCGGCCTCTGAGACCGCACTCTGCGACGCGAAGAGGATGAACCCGCAGCCTCTAGTGCCAGACCTTCACTCTGCGAAGCCCTCGTCCTTCGCATACGCTTGACGATGTCCCTAGCACCTGGAAAATCTCAGAACCCCATTCGGCGCAGGATCTCACCCGAATCGTCCACCTCCCCCGACCTCGCCTGACTCAGTCGGCACAGCGGTGCCTTTACGGCACTGACGTATCAGACAATCCAGGGTCTCGGCTTGGCGTTGCACCAGCATCGTCCACAGGAGACAGCTCCATGGAATCTGCGTCAACAGCAGGTGCATGGCCAGTGTGTTCGGAGGCACCCAAGCCGCAGAATCTGAAGCGGCTAACACACGGTCTTGGTCAAGGACCGGCGCAACGTCATCTCCCTCACCATCAAGAGCTCCTACGGCTTCAGAGTCGATCACCTCGGATGGCACGACCAACGAAACAAGGCGTTGGAAAACTCAGGGCCTAGGTCGTGTCGCCACATTGCTGGGACTGTCAGAGAGCGCCGCGCACAAGTCAAAACACCCTGCATCGCATCTCCACGCTTCAACGACCTGACAGGCTCGATGATTGGGACGCGAAGTAGCTTACAGGTGTATGCGCACGCGTACTTGTAGCCATCAACGCTCTCGACATATGGACCGACAAAATCCATGTAGACATCCATCCGCGGTCCCAGCGTGCGTTGCTCCAACATAGGATCAGCAGGAAGCGGCACACCAGAACGGTGATGCGACGCGCATCGGGGACAGGACTGGGTCGAGCACGCAGTCCCAAACAAAGCACCGGCGAAGCTTATCAAAGGTCTATAGTTGCATTGAGGTGCTCGGAACCCAAGGACAAAAGGGTAGGGTTTAGGGCTTAGGGGCTTAGAGGTTTAGGGGCTTAGTTAAGGGTTTAGGGGTTTAGGGGACAATGCTGAACCATGAAAACGAGAAAACGCCCACTGCCTCCGCCCCCCCACCGAAGGAAGGACGGGCACTTCCACCACATGGATACGGCGGCAAAGAAGGCCCTGGTCATTTAAGGAATGCCTCGCCGCGGCCGATCTCAGCCGGAGTTCGTCTTTGGCTCCAATCTTCTCTGCTCGCTTCTCTCCAGCCTTGTACCTCAAGTAGTTCAACAACTCCCAAATTTCAGCACTCTCTTGATCCTTGAGCGCTCGGCCTCAAAGGGAGGCGGGATGACCTTGTCCCCTGGAGCATCGGCCCCAATGTTTCTTGATCTAGCGATCGCTCAGAACAATCACCTGCTCTGCTAAGCAGCCCTTGCAGGAACAAAGGGGCGTTCATACCCTGTGAGCCGCCTGCAAGCTCCTTGGACGCACCCTTGAGCCTTTGACCCCAAGCGTCCTCATCGCCAAGATCACCCTCCACGCCGTCGGGATCGATCAAACGCTCCGTGCTACGCGTTGCTTCGGCAACGGACGGCCTCTCCGGCTTCGGCGTTTCCACGGCGAGAGCATCACAAGGGCCACACCTAAGCGCTCCGCGAGAGGGTTCGTCGTCGCTCACAACAGCACCATTTTTTGCACATGTGAGATAGAGGGGACTCCACACAGGCCACAGCGATGGAGCTGCGCCTTCATCCCACACACCACGCAGAACGCAACCCCTTCGGCCTCAAGCCCCTTTCGGGTATGCGGAGGCTCCTTCAACGAGTGAGAGCACTCGGTTCAAACCCAAATGCTCGGTAAGCCCATCCCAAAACGCGACAGTTTTCTTATGGGCCGATGCCGGGGCAACCAAACACTGTGGAGCAGAAGCTTCCGGCAATGCCTCAGCCAAAACATTGCAGTCAAGGTACTGTGCCTGGGAGAAGGGCTCAATGGACACAAACCCTTCAATCGCACCCCAGGTGTTGCGGGCCTCTATCAGCTCGGTCTCCGTCGACACGTGCTGTCTAAGAGCCACCTCAACCACAAACGGCAGAGAACACATCAGCACCATGAGCGCGCCCTGGTGTGCTCCAACCAACAACCTCGGCTTTGGCCGGCATACCTCACGAATCATGGTCATGACTCCAGGTCCAGTAAGGATCTGCTTTCGGAGTCGCCTAACCGTCTCGGCGGCGCACGAAACTCAAGGAAATCGTCGTCGTCGCAATCCGGGTCCTTGAGCCGCGCACGGGCGGTGGCCAACTCGCGCGTTCGCTCCTCCAGCCTTTCCAGCATCTTCTTCTCCTGCTCTGGCGGTCGTGTCGAACAACCTGCTCAGCCCATCGGCCAAACGCATGCCTCGGCCCGAAAGGTTCCGGATCTCGCTTCTCAGAGCATGTCCGGAAACTGACAGGATCAACCTGGTCAAGGGGCTTATCCTGCAGTCGCACAACTTTCGCGTGATCGGTGTACATCACCACGGGGATAGACCCAAACAGCACGCGGAACTTCCGTCGGCATCGCAGCTGCGCATGCTGCGCCTGCCGGAATCGTCAAGCTCTCCGCATGGTAGGCCAACGGCAACCATGTCTTGAGGTGGGCGCATCTGCAAGCGCGCTCCCCCCAAGCCAGCCTTGCAACAATCCGCCAGCTGCTCACAACGAGATCCTGAAGCCGCTGCGTGCTCATCGGGCACGGAAGGACACGTGGCCTTTTGGCCTTTTTCATCAACCTCTCCAGCCGCTCGATGCCCTCTAAGCCTCGAGGTGTGAGGGGCAAACCAGCATCATCCTCCCTGAGATACCTCCTCAGCGGATCCATAGCCACTGCAAAGTTTAGCGCAGGGCTTGGAGGCAACATCCCCCGGCTCGAAGAATTTCAAAGACTGTGCTGAGGTTTCGGCCGGAGGCCCGCATTCATAGAGCTGACCGGCAAAGGGCCAGGCCTAGATTTATCGTGCTGCTCTTTCCTTTTTGTTTACCCCCCCGCCCGGGGCGCCGGGTGCCAGGTGAGAGGTCATCAGGGCTGGGTTCGGAAGAGGTCTGTTTCATTGTTGCGCTCTTTGCTTGTTGATCTTGCTGGTTGGCAGCTGCAGCAACTGCTCAGGGGCATGTTTCATCTGCTCTTTGTGGAGCTTTGGGCATCCTTCAGCTTTCTCAGCACTCGGTGAGGACTTTGATCTTCTTCCAATGCCGAGGACACCTGGAGCCACGTGTCCAGCAGGTAGCGCATGTAAGTCAGGGATAATCTCATAAAGGCTCGGTGCATGTTGCCATAGGGTGGCTCAATCGCAAGCTCCAAACCACTAACAGCCACATGAGCATGGTGTCGCCATGCCCTCAGGCTTGGGCTTCTCCTGTTACCTGCTTCGTTGTATGGGCCGTGAGCAGGCAGTCAAAGCTGGTGGCCGCTTTCGCCCAGCTAAATGACTTGCAGGAGCGAGGAGATCGGCAGCATCGAAGTGGACAAGCAATGGTTCATGATGGGTGTGGCTAACATGGTGCTCAGCGCATACATCGTTGGAGCCTTTCCGGCGCTGTCCCTCATCGTCCTACGGCTGGTCAAGTTTTAGCGCAAGAAACAGCTTTTTCTCCTCTGGGACTTCTGCTACTGGGCAAACTTCCTCTGCATCTTTTCCTGCTGGGTGATGCCGAAGTCGCCTCGTGTCTTCCGCGTGGTGTTTATGTGTGCCAATGGAGCGTGCTGGCGTTCAACCTCAACCACGCCGTGGTGTTCCACTCCTACGCCCATATGACGTCTGTGGCGGCGCACGTCTCTCCCCTCCTCCTTTCTTATGGACTTCGCTGGTACGCTGCTCCGGTCTCCGAACATGGGCTTGGAGCCCGCCACTTTCAAGTCTGTCCGAGCAGCGAGAGCTGTAGCGATATTTCGGCCTTGCAACTGATCTGGGATACGTTGATCGGGTTCTATTTGCGGTGGCTGGTTTTGTATTACATTTGGATTTTCATAGCTCTTGGCTCCTACATCGAGCGACACTCTTACCAAACGCTGTGGAAATGCGCTTGCACGGCTCCAAACACGGGCAAGTCACTCCAAACACGTGGCCAACCTACTCTTTGCTGAAGACAGCTTTAAATACCCTCCAGAGAGGGAGAAAGCAAAACTGGCCGCTGACTACCCTCAAGCCTGCTCTGCACAAGTGAGACACACATCCCAGTCGCATGCATCGCATCTGTAAGTGCTGCCTGTAACTGCCACTTCGCAGACATTGCAGGTAACATGAAAGTACGCGTACTTACGCGCGCTTAGAACGACATTGTCCAGCAGCGCCACCCAAGTCATGTCATGGCCCTGCGCGCAGAAGGGGCCACGCTTCTCCCTGGCCACTGGCAATGGCGCTGGGACTTCTGACCCTTGGGCTGGCTCCTTCTTAATGGTCGCCGATGCGCGTCTGGCCTTCTTGGAAGCACGCTTGATGCACAAGACTTCAACACTGCTGCTGTCAGTGTCTGTGTCTGGTTCACGTTTGAGGCCTTGAGGAAGACATGGACCGTCACTGCCTGAAGAATGCTGAAGCTGCCGCGGCACACTTTCAGGAACAGGTGAGTCGTCTCGAAACTCAGGCAGGACGAATTGGCTCGTTCCTTGGCATCTGCTCAACATGGGCCGGTACATCTTGACGGACGGGCTCGTCTTCCTCGTTCTCATCGGGGAGAAGGGACTCAAAATCGCTTCTGATGTCGTGGGGAATGTCTTCCGCCGTGAAAGGACGCTCAACCTGGCAGCTGCTGAATGCCTTATAGTACTGCGCTCTAAAAACAGGACTGTTGCGTTTGCGCGAACGTAAAAAGCAAAGCTGCGAATGTGAACAAAGCACTTGAACCCGCCGTGGGTGCGCATCCTGCCAGGTCTTAATCTCTCTCAAGAGATTGTAGAAAGGCTCCACACCAAAGGCTGAGCATCTTTGACGCCACAAGAATTCTGCGAGAATTTCTCCATAGCCTTATTCCCGACTCGGCCATATTGCCGTTGCCGCAAATATGTCTTGAGACGTCCAAAGAGCCCTTCAACCGCATTAGTGGTGACATTGATGTCCTCGCCAAACACACGCTCGACGCGAGAGAACTCACCTGCTTTGTGGTTCACAGCACAATGGACACACTGGCTGCCTGCTCGCCCGAGAAATGAGTATGACTTGTGCCTGTCCGTGAAAATAAGCGAACCTGGCACAACATGGCGCTCAATCTCCCTCTTGAGTGTCGACATCTTGCGGTTCGGAATGGTGATGAGAACACAGGCACCTGTTGCTTTGCGGGTAGCTAAATCCAATTCCAGGAAGCCCATGACAATGGTTTTGTGGCCCGCAGTGTTCCTTCCAACGAAACCTCCCGCATTCGTTTTCTTCTTTGTGAAAAAAGTTTCGTCAATGACCACTACACGGCCAGCACCACCCAACTGCACCCAAGCGCAGCGAACTGCTGCTGAATGACCAACCACAATAAAGCACGAAGCATCGTGCGGATCTTCGTCCAAGCTTTGTCCGCAAGTCCAGTCTCTTTCAGAATTTGTTTCTGAGGGGCGTCGGAGCAAAACCAATACAAAGCCCGAAGGTACTTGGAAGGTGTCAATGAAAGAGGCAAATCAAATGGCAAGTCACCATGATCTCGCCATGTCTTCTTGTAGTTGCACCGCTTGTGTCGAGGAGCCTTCTCGTCTTCATCTTCATCCCCACTTGTCGGAAACACATCATCCAACTTCGCAGCGCAACGCAGATGACAAGAAGCACCATCATTGTTGCCACTGAACTTCCATTCATGCCCGCGACTGCACTCTCGTGGAAGAAACAAAAGCTCTGACCAGATTAGGAACCATAGAGCCTTGTTGTTGGTGGTCCAAAGATTGGCTGCGCCTTCTTCTGAGTTCACCATGGCGTCAAACACCTTTCAAAGAGGTTATGTCAGCTGCCAAAACTTGTGCACAAAAAGCTGCAGAAACAATTTGAATGATCGCATCATAGAAACAACATCGCGACATGTTTTGTCAAGTTGAGAAAGACTTGCAAGCACTTCCAGGCTTCTTCTTTTCAAAAAACACCGCACTCGGCATCACTTGAACCGAAAATGGAAGACTCTCCAATCAACTTGCTCCTTTCAAAATGCCTTTTGAAACTGGGCGTGACAACCTTCTAGACAAACCAGACGCCCACCAAAAAACTCGAGCATCCAAAACCGTCGTCTTAGGCTCAAGCATGTTTGAGTCTGAATTTTGCAGAAATTGGCTGTCCCCTTCAGCCGATGTGGAGGAAAGAAAAATGCCTCTGAAGAGTTGGGCAACTCTGCAGTTGGAGCACCTTCAAGTGGGTAAACAAGTTCCACTAAAGGTTTTGCGCTTGAAAACAAAGGATCTGAACTGCTGCAAAAAAAAACGGCGAGCGTTTCTGCAATCGAAACAAAATCTGCATCTGCTAGGCTTGTTTTGAAAATGTCAGAAAAATTGCGAAGCTCTGCATCGCTGCTGGGAAGTGTGCATGTTCCTTTATATGGACACTAGGGGTTTAGGGGTTTAGGGGTTTAGGGGTTTAGGGGTTTAGGGGTTTAGGGGTTTTGGGGTTTTGGGGTTTTGGGGTTTTGGGGTTTTGGGGTAGTGTAGCTTCAAGAGCTTTTGCTTCGATACTTTGTTGTCGTTCGTGCGGCGTGTTAAAACAGATCTGAGGGGTCATTTTTTACCGTCTCCAGCCATCGCGCTTCCACAGGTTATGAGCCCAAACCTCGCTTAATGGGCTCCTGGCTCTCGAACTCCAGTATGGAGTATTTTAGACGCCGCTTTCAATGAGAACACCCTGCCGATTCCCAAAGTGAAAGTCATGAAGCTGAAGAGAGGATAGAGCAGCTCTAGAAAATCCCAATCATGATGACCGACCGACACCTGCAGATGAAAGTGTGTTAGATCAGCAGCGGAACAGGGAACATGCCATTGATCCTCCTGTTCAGGGGAATGTATGGTGGTCGGAGCGAGCAAACAACGAGCTGTTGTTGCGGAATATGAGACCGAATGATCTGCCAACAGCATCGGGAGCCTCCGTATGAAGGGGGGCAAAGCAACCAGACAGCCATGCCCGAGCACTTTGACTTGGCAGCTGGAGATTTCCCGGGACAATCTGATGATGGACCATCAGATCGTGGCCAATCTGCTGGCAACTATGAGTTATCTGTGAGCAGCACAGGTTCGAGAAGGAACTTGGTGGGACTGCCCACAGGTGGACAGATGAGGCCAGCAGTGGGACTTGGGCAAGCCTCCAGGGACTTGTCCGAAGATGAGGAGAAAAGAAACGCTTGAAGGGCTCTTGAGAATACAGCAATCACTTGAAGCTTCAAGATCACGAGGCCATATGGGACGACACAGCGATTCAGGCTTGAACGAGATCAGGCATCAAGCGGCTTATCTTCCTGCTTCGCACTTGATGGAGTTGTTGCAGAAAGAGGACAAGCCGGTCGATCCGTTTGTTGCGACGATATTGCAGAGAGACTTGAACGGGCCGAGCAGTCCAGAACTACGAGTACTCTGCATTCCGCTTTGGAGGCTCCTGGTGATGGCATGAGATTTCAGGCGCAACCTGGTAGTAGGAATGTACAGACCTGAAGGGTTAGAGAACATGTACAGAACTATACTAACTATACAGCCTGAGAGCCTACACCGAAGGGAAGGGAGAATAGGGTTTATGGGAGAAGAAATTAGAACTAGGGTTAGTGGTTTAGAGGGCATGTCCCAGCAGAGCATCCCAGCATTCCCTAAAGCCCCAAACGCAGCTAGTTCTGAGGGACTGGCAGTTCCGCAAGGATATCGTGGAGCCCAGGTTACTGTGCCAGCTACAGGTGGGTTGGACCCATTTGTAGCTGCAG